ATGAATTTTGTATAATATACTAATAGACATAAATGAACATATTCAAGTGTCTTTTCTTTGTACAATAAAGAATATATTATTTTTTGTAAAATGGTAACTTGTTTATATTCCCTTGTCGCAGAAGAAAACTAGTTGTGTTCCCCGTAGCATCCAAGGTTGACTATCGAATCCAGTTTCTTACATAGTTGTATTTAAAGTCATCGTGAATACTGTAGGAAAAATTTAATTAATTTTGTTATATTACTATGCTATTACTTTTTTATATTACTTTGTGTTTATTATCTCTACTATATATTCTATATTTATACTGAAGGACTTGCATCCCATGATCACGACAAAAAAAACAATTTTTATCGATTGTCATACTGGACATAGTTCTAATACACACAATATTACATTTCGATACCTCCAATGAACCGTACGTCAACTCAATTTTTGGACCTGTGCTGTTTTTATTTTGTTTTTCGTTTCTTTATTATTTTTTTTTTCACAAAATTCGGCGAGCATAATATTAGTAAAAAAAAATGGCTGTTTACAAAAATAACAGAAAATGTTCATTGGAGGTATCGATTTTCACTCGCCAAAAAAACAAAGTTTCTAACGTCGTTTTTGTTTTATTTTCACTATAAACTTTAATCCAATGGTGTGTCCATAGTTTCAATAAAAAGTGTAGCATACTGTGATACAAAGGGACACGCCCTAATAATGAGGCTGCAAATTTTAGGGTTGGAAATTTTTTGGTGGGAAATTTTTAGGATTGGCAACCTAAAGCACAAAAGTCAAAAACAAACATCGTTCATTTATATCAATACATCGATAATCTAAAAAGTAATAGTGAAATTAATTTGTTTCAATTATTAATTTCTTAGGGCGCGTTTAAAATAGGCACTTGTAGAAGCGCAGCAGCAGCTTGTGACCGCAAAAAACAGTAAAAAGAAGAAAGAAGACAGAGTACCAACAAAACCGACCTCAAGAGTTCGTGGAATAACATCTATTTGGCACGTTTATTGTAATCGGTTACCGAAAAGTGCGCGAAACCGGATTGATCCCCTAGTTTGCCACCTGTACAGGTGGAATATTTTCTTCAAATTTAAATGGTACTAATACTAAGGTACCCTCTTTCCAACAAAAAACAATCAGCAAAATGTTCACAAGTGCCGGAGTAATCGCGTAACACACATATAAAAAAAAAGTACAGTCGATTTGAAAACCTCCTCCTTTTTTGATGTCGTTTAAAAAGTGGCGCGCGTCATGAAAGTGGCGCTGCAACTGCGCTCCCAAAAATTGTATGAAAAATAGAACTCGCGCGGCTGCAGTGCTCCCTTAGTGACCTATTTTCATTAGCCTCATCATTCTCTTCGCATTTTCCGACATTATAAACAACAAGGAACAATAAACGGACCCCTCTTACGTAAAGTATCGTATGTCGAAATTGCCAAGTTTACAGGTTTGAGGGTCGTATTCTAGAACTCTACTCAATGCTCAAGTTAGGATTTGAGTATGGTTTAAAGCACTTGATATCATACTCAAGTCCCTGCCATTAGAGTCGTATTTCTAGTGCTTGTGTTGCCCGTGCAATCCTGACTTGAGCATTGAATAGAGTTCTAGAATACGACCCTTAAAGTTCTGAATTCAATGAAATGAACATAACACGTGACTTTAGCATTTCTCAGTTTTATTCGGCAAAGCTCGTTACTCACATAGAGTATTATAAAATCCTAGATATCGGTTAGATGATCTATGATGATCTATTAGATGATCACTCTTTCAGTGAATTCAGAAATTTAAAACGCTCCCCTGTAAACTTGGCAATTTCGTCATACGATACTTTACGTAGGAGGGGTCGAAACTTCGTATTTTTTTTAACTTACGTGTTCAAGTCTGCCGACCTTAGAACTACGAGAATAGTCGGATTGCTAATTGGACGTCATTAAACAAAAAGGATCCAATGCACGTCCAGTCACTTTCGAGATATGGCAATTTGAAGTTTATAAGTTTTGTATTCAAAACTTATAATGTCATGTAACTCTAGAGATATTTATTCATGTTTATATGTTGAATTTTTCTTGCTGAACTAAGAGGTTAGACTTTACGAACCTTTTGGCGCACATAACTCATTTTTTGATAATTTTGTGGATTGGATCCTTTTCGCTTAACTACGTTCAATTATAGATAATAAATAAACTGACGTTTAGTAGTTAGCTTTAGATCTATCATTTAAATAATTATCACTTTCCTTCTACAAATGGCTCGTACATTGGTTTTATCAAGAGGAAAGGTCACGGAAGAAAAGAAACAATGGAAGTGCCTTAAGCCTTGATTACAATCAGAACCGCTGTTGCCAAAACTCACACATTCACAATTTGACACACTATGAAATTCTGATAATGATTGGTCGTAGTTTCAAATTTAATAGTCGAAAATCTTTAATGTCTCTTCTAGATTGTTTCTGTTTGTTCACTGAATTCATCGAAAACGGAAGCAAATATATCACTATGCAATTAAAATGACCTTTGTAGCTGTCAGTTATATTAGTAGCTGCTTGTTGTTGATTAATACACTCAAAAACCAATATAATTATAACTTTTCAGTTCTCTGTTCTGTTCTCTGCCTCAACCGTCGTCTGGAAGAGACCGCTTTCAGCGATAAGGCCGCCCTGGCTCACATTAATTCTAAGTTGTCTATGTACTGTTTTTGTCATTTTTGTGTTTGGGTAATAAAGTGTATTTCTATACTTTTTTTTTTATAAAAAAAACCCACCTCAAAAGTAAGGACATTACATGTAGTTGCCAAGTTTTATGGAAATCGGTTAACGGAAAGTGTGTGATGTGCAATAAATCGGTTTCACCCCTCAAATTTGCCACCCTTGGAGAAAAAAATGAATCATCGAAATCGGTTTACAAATATCGGCGTAATCGCGTCACAATACAAAAAAAATAAAAATATAGTCAAATTCCGAACCTCCTTTTTTTGAGACGGTTAAAAGTAGATCCCCTTATTCCTCACGGGACAGGCGCATCCAATTTTAACTGGTCACAATAAGAACCACAGTAGTGATACAGCGACCCTCTTTACATATTTTTTTTAATTGTCTATACTAAATGCAGACTAGTACGATCGGAAGCTAGAAGAAAGAGGAAAATGTTGTTCTTTAAAATCCAAAAGATTTGTTTATACATATAAACGTGTTCTATTGTAAAGGAATAATAGGGAAGATTCATTGATTGTATAAAATGTTTACGTTAATTCTTGTACTTTACTCACATCTTATTATATGGTAAGGGATCCATATCCCTAGCCATAATAATATTTAAAAAAAACCCTGTACCGCTAATGACCGTCTAACATAATCACAGACTTGATTCTATTGGCTTACTCGCATTGGTTGAAAATCTAGAACCACGAGAACCGCGGAGTGTGTATCTCCACAAGTTTTTATTATGTACTTACAATACTTTCAAGTAACTCCGACACCTTTCACACTTTCATTTGTTTGCAACATAATTGAAACAAGAAACTTCGCTAGGTTGAATCGCTGTTTATGAAAATACAGATTCACTTAGTTTAGGAGACAGGGTCGCCAATTGCTATCTGCCTTGTTTGTACCCACAACGTCTACTATACATGTAATTATCTTTACATGGCAAAAAATTTATTTAGCATTTCGTGTTTAAAGGTAAAACCGCATAAGTAACATTTTAAATCAAAAATCTTTAATTTATGCAGCTATGGTAAGAAAATCACTATCTTTCTGCACGTGAGACTCAATAACAAAAAAGATATAAACCCAGTAAGAGTTTTATCCGCAGTAAGATGGTATTTTCTTACAATAGGTGCATAGTTTGGAGATTGTTTTTGGAAAATGTCCCTTATGTGGTTTTACCTTTAAGCAGACGATTTGTTGTTGAAATACGCATTTTGAAACTGGTATACTAAACGTCATTTCCTTTTTCAAAATTTGTAGTTGCAAAAACCGAGGAAAACTTTTTCTTTGAACATAACAATATTTTTGTATTCTAGGCCCATACTGGCTCGAATTATTGTCCGGGAGTGTAGTTACTTGTATTCGTTGATATGTTAACAGTCTGCAACAGATTTGAAGTGGTAATTATCACGGTAATTAATTTGATAATTAAAAAATAATAATAATTACGTACGTGCTCGGATGCACGATTTGCCGCTTCAATGCGTATCTAAACGCGACAAATAGCAATCACAAACAGAAAGAAAAGAAAATATTGACTCATAATATTAAAAATCAATCGTTAAAAAATGCTTCATAACCATTGATCTTAGGGTAATGTTCATAGCTGATTATTTTAATTTTCAAATACTAAAACAACAAATAATTGAAAATTACAAAATATCTTTTACATAATGTTCTAGTAAGTGTTTTCATTCCTAACAAAAATAGAAAAAACTAAACTAACAATCAACATTGATTATATCACATTATTACAATGATAATAATCAAAGAAAATCTTGATCATTTGAACCCAGGTTTCACGAGCACCACAACTCAGAGGCGGAGTGATCTGTGTGAGTTTTCACAGTCCTAAGTCAACGGGGTTCGTTCGTATTTTCTGTATTTACAGGCTTATTTTAAATCACCCCGATATACAAAAACGTAATAAAAACTTGTTCCTTGTCTTAAACATAAAGGTACATTGTTGAGGTTTAATTACAATACCACCGTAGAAAATACTTTGAACGAATAACAATGAAATGACTAGGTATTTTGTTCTGTGTTAAGATGATAAATTCATACATTTTTGTCGGAGTCATAATCCGAGTATTAAATAGATATACCTAAATAAAGGACTTTTTGATTTCTATAATATTTTGTGCCATAAAAATAAACGTCTCCTTCAAGGCTCAAAATTAATAGCCAAAAATTTTTTTGTGTCATCTATCTCCATAAGTTTATATATATAATAAAATAATAGGAATGGCACGTAAACCTTTTTTTACATAATTCCTATATTTATATTAATGGTCGCTGTCTTTCAACCAATGTAAATAAGCCATTTAAAATAAAAACAAGCACAATATATTTAAATTACTCATCAATAAATATGGTACTGTTAAAATTGTACTTAATCAAAAAAACCTCACGTCGATCGTAAAATTTTCTGTATAAAAGCAGCTTGAACTTCGTCCGCCCTGAAAAGAAAATTCCTGTTTACTTTTAAGTTGTCTCAAGCACTAGACAGTTAAAGAAAAACTCAGTCACTTGGTGATTATGACACTTTTGAAAAAAAATTTGGTCTCATTAAAAAAATGTCGTGCGCCTGGTGGTAAGCGACACGCCCGTCCATAGCAGTGCCACTCAGAACTTTAGATCGCAAAGATATGAGAGGCACTGCCACTGCCACCGTGTCCGTTACCCTGAGACATAAGTTGACAAGTCCCAAGTGCCTGTAATTTAAAATTAATAAAAATGTGAAATAAAAGGACGAACAAGTTGTGCGCCTGGTGGAAAGTGACACGCCTGTCCATTACAGTTGCTGTGCCACTCAGAGCTTTAAATCGCAAAGATCTGAGGAGCACTCCCACTGCGCCCGTCACCCTGAGACATTCCCAAGTTGACAAGTCCCATATGCCTGTAATTTACCAGCACCCGTACCCTTCAAAACCGGAACGCACTGAACGCACGGAACGAACGGCAGAAATACTACTAAGTAAATTGCCTTTCCTATTTATAAGACATATACTTATCTGTTATATGGTTATGAACTAAGCGCTCCATTTACAGAAAAACAAACGCCTCTCTATGAATGTCATATTAAATATATAGGGGCGTTCAACATTAAAATTTTAGATATTTCTGGTTTTATTTTTAAAGAGTTATTGATGTCGTTTTACTCATTAGGCAACGTACTTTCGATATCAGTTTAAAGGTCTTTGAACATTACTAATACTAATCATTCGAATGGGCATATCATTCGTCTAAGTCGAATTCAAGCACATCATTCGACTCGAGTTGAATGATTATCGATACTGAATGCCCCTGCTATAAGATCGGATGTACAAATCGAATGATTATTATGTCGGAACTAAAAATGTCCATATCAAAATATCCCTGTTCCCTACACATTATTTACCATATGTCAGAGAGGGCTAGGCAGAAACGCTCTATGGCAAGGGTCTACAACCCGCGGCCCGCGGTTGCCTTCTTGGCGGCCCGCCATGCCATTAGATTAACAAAAATAAAATTAACATGTCTACAAATTATGCCTATTTACACATTAAAACCGACTATAAAAGAAGGAAATTAACGCGCGTGATCCGAATTTATGTTCTACCTCTACCTACAATTACATACACACACACACTACATACTCAAGTAGCGAGACGCGCGGGACCTCCCCTCACCCGCGCCCGTGTGATGGGGAGGTCATTGATAAATTAGTTAAAAGTAAACAATGTCAAACGTCTCATTGATTAAATTTTATTAAAATAATTTGTACTTAGTTTGTAAAATTACGTAATAAATAATATTAATGATTATATTATTGCTTTTTAATTACTTTTTTTTTACAATGGAATGCCTTTTTTGTGTTGCGGCCCGCCGAACCAATATCAGAGTATACTAGGCCCTTGACCTAAAAAAGGTTGAAGACCCTTGCTCTATGGTATCTATGGATTAGTAATGAATGATCATTCAGATCATTCGAATACGAATTTTGAAAAAAATTGTCATTTGAATGACAGAATTAGTAATTACTAGCGAATCGAATATCGAAATCGTTTGCAGTCGCGCATAGATGTTTTTGATATCTCTTATATTTACGGAATGATCGCCTGGGCACACTTAACGAATTAATAATTATAAATTTTAGTAAAAGTAGAGCTCCTTGGGAAAGAGTTCGTCCAGGGAAGTACTGCCACCTTACCTATTTCTGCCGCCAAACCGTAATGTGATACATAGTATTGGAGGTACTTGTTTTGGGTGCATGGAAAAAAAACGGATCCTTTGTTATTATTTTTAACCAAAGCAAGAAAAGACCGAAAAATGTGTGTCGCGATCGTAGCAAGTGTCTTTAAATCGATGGGAAAAGGGCGTGAATTGTATGTGTGACAAGTTAATAAAGAACCTCATACTCACTTAGCGCTGGTAACAGTATGCATCAAGTTGATAATGTAACGTGGGCATACATCCTCGTGCATCACTCGCGCGTGGAATAACAGCCCTTGGCATAGGCAGTACAGAAGTTCTACGAGCGGCCAATGCTCTGGTATCAGTCCTTTCTGGTAACCCCAGGACCCGAGTATCTGACAAGTTGACAAATTATAAAAAAAACTAAATATCGTTTCTCTCCTAAATAACTGTTGTATTCGTAATTTTTGTAGTAACTAAAGAAGTTGCTCGATTTAGAGAACATTCTCTATATTATATTACGCATTATAACAAGAAATATGCAAAGCGCAGGAGTGGGGACGTTTGCACGTTCGAATTTACTACCAATCGGTAGTAAATTCGAATTTACAACAAAAAAGTCAGATAGTACAACAAAAACTGTATATATACTAGGTGGAATGGCGATTTCCTACCGAAGCGCAGCAGTCTTTCTTATTTTCAGAACATAGTTTTCTAGTAACTAAAATTTCAAATTTTGTTTTCACTTGTATTATAATTGGTCAATAGCAATTAAGCTGCCCGGGGGTTATAGATATACCAGAATCTGATGGCATTTAAATAAATGAATTTGTAGTGGGCAACGTCAATATAGTAGGAAAAACTATACAAGATATTTCATATATTTTAATTGATCAGAATTGATCTATCTTCGTACATGTCTGAAGATCTGTATGAATTTGTGTGCGACAAAGGTAGGTAATTTCTGACACATTTTAAAATAAAACAAAAATATATCAATTACATTGTGTGTCAAAGATTTATTTACGTTTGCAGTGTGAATTAACTCGCATTTACGCCATTTATCTTCTTTTTACCAATCATTGTCTACACACTGTAGTCTTGCTGACTAGTACCAACAAAAATTACATACCACATACATTGATTTGGCTTCATCAAAATTTCAAAGATCAAGTTTATTTACTCCTACTAATCGGCAAGACTTGAGACCCGCTTTTAAATCGTGAATTATGACTTAGATGCACCTAATTCGTCGCTGATTTTGCGATAAATTAGAAATTATTACAATGTTTTTTGCTTGAGCTTGAAACGGATTGCAAGCAGACAATCATTTAACACAAGTAATATTTTGAATTGCCATGTGACAAGTTACATTGCCAGGTGAAAGTTGTTCGATTTTTCTAATATTGGATGCCATGAGATTCCGGTGCACCTATACCTGAGGTACAGGTTTTCCTAGTTCAGGGACCAGCCTCCACAACCCAATTATACTTTAATATAATGTAAAGTGTTTTTTTACATGTTAGTGGATAGGAAGATTGCCAAAATTATAGAACATTTTACCTGTAACGTAGAAGTGAGAGGCGCTAAAGCAATGGGCGTGGAAGGCGAAGCTCTAAATGCCGCACCGGCGAGGAAACCGGCGGGTAGAGCATATAGCGCGCTGTCTCTACCGTTAGCTCGACATAACAGGCACACTATTAACTGCAATTGTTAAAAAAGTCGGTTATTTAAAATAGAAATATTACATTAGTAGATTTAAAACTTCTGTTACCCATTATAGGAAACATTAGAAAGGTACGAAAGGTAAGGTTTCAAAATTGCAGGTAAAGTAATTATGTCATTCCACCACCAACTGGGAACTTCACGCACGCCATTAAATTGTTTTGCAGATGTGTGCAGGTGTCCTCATTATGTTTTCCTTCTCCGAAAAGCATGGTAAATTCCAGATCAAAGTTGCAAATTTCACACATAAATTACGAAAAACTCAAAGGCCTAGCTTCGAACTCACGGACACTGTTTGAAAAGCGATAGGTCAAACCAGTACACAAATTAAATTTTGCACTACGGATCCCCCTCACCACTACACAATTTTGACAAAAAATCATTATCATTGTTTTATCACAACATTAAAATAATTATGTATCGTAATGGAAATTACTATTTACCATGGAGATTGGGAGATATTAATGATAAAGGCTGCGTAACGGGACTAAAGTGGTCCTGGTATTTTTATTTTTTAATATAACATAACATGGGGAAAATAATTAAACGGAGACAATTTTAAGACGCAAAGAGAAAGAACTAGGTCTACACAACATTTTCACTAAGGGTAAAATACTTAAATTCCTGTGTTCCTAGTATTGTACACAATAGCACAATTAAATTCCTGTGTTCCTAGTATTGTACACAATAACACAATTTATAAAACACTAGAAAACAATTTCATTTTGCTTGATAAAACAGCTTAAATTTGCCTTTGTTTTCTGCGTTTGAATGAAAAAAAAAGTCTTTGGCAAATTATAATAAGAAAAGAAATATGAGAAATATGTTTTGAGAAACTGAAAAAATGGATTAAAAAAACAAGTACTGAAAATCTATCTAGTTTTGTTCTTTAAATATTCTATCACAAAATTGCATACATAGGTAATTAAAAATTTTCTACCACTAGCACTGAGGTTTACATAACAATACTTACTCTAAGATCAGCTTCCCATAACTATAAACTTTATATACATTACGCAAATATGAATTCTCGTATATTGTGTTTTTATATTATATTAGTTTACTAATTCCAGTATACCCACCCGATAAATACCAATATAACCGCCGAAAAAGAGACCAAGCTTCAAGTGCGAGAGTTTCAATGACTTGAATGCCTTCGAGGGAGTGAGTATTTTCGGTATGATCGTACGAAGCATCGTCATCGCGCATCCCACACCAAACAATTGCGCAGTGCCCTGTAATTATCACACAAAGGAGACGGTGTTATTAAATCATACAAATTAAGTAGAAATAGAGCTCCTTGTGAATGAGTTCGCCCAAGGAAGTACTACCACCTTACCTATTTCTTAATATTATGGTCGCTCATTATTTCATAATATGATAGTGTAAGTTTTTAATCATGCATTTAAATTTTTATCACTGGTACACTACGTCTCCCTCTCTGTTCAGTTCTTTTTTTTTCGGTACAAAACTGGATACAATTCAGATATAAACTACAAGTATTTCATTTATATAGTGACACGATAAGAATGTATCCTACTTGATGTGAACACAACATGCAAAACAGGCCAAAATAACTGTATAAGTATCAAAGTATTGAATAAGTGACAGGAGCTCTAAATTTCAAGTATTTTAAGAAAACCCAACAAAGTCAGTCGTGTAATAGACATTTTTTAATTGAGTTCTTAGCTGAGACAACGGAACCAGAGAAAATATCGTAATCAAAACGGATAACATTGTAAGAAGAACACATGCAATACAGTGGACAGTGTTGACCATGGTTAGTTCTGCAAATAGGGAGCGAAAATGTTTTACGATTTTGCAGGCAACTGCCAGGACGGAGGACGGAGAAACGTAAACGATGCAGGATGTCAGGTGCAGCTATAATACCATGAATGATTTTGAATAAAAAACATTGCATCATGAGCTTTAGGGCGCTTTTGCAATGAGAACATGTTAAAGTGAGAGAGACGTGACTCTCTCACTTTAACAACTGTTTACATTTAAAATTATTGTATGTTAAATGATAGAGGAAACGTTTTTGAATACTTTCAATTCTATTTGAATGAACCAGGTAACTCGGGTTCCAGACAATAGAGCAATATTCTAAAATACTGCGAATTAAATTGTTATAAATTAAAATTGTGGTACAATAAAGTGTTTAAATAAATAAATAAATAAATAGATACAGTTGGCTCGTTAAAAGTTTTCATTTGTCTTGATACAAAACCGGTTAGCCTAGAAGCTTTGCTAATGATTGAGTCAATATGCTTATTAAAACTTAGTGTAGCGTCTATGACGACACCCAGTTCTCGAATACTGCTGAGCTCTGTTAAGGGTGCATTGTCTATAAAATAAGTCACAGCTAAAGGCCTCCTGCGCCTGGCGACCTTTATGTGGTAGCATTTATTAGTATTGAGGACCATATAGTTATCGCGACATCACTGATGGACTCTGTTAAGATCATCCTGAAGTAATTGCGCGTCCACAACCGAATTAACAGCTCTGTACAGCTTCAGGTCATCAGCGTACATTTTAAGTTCTCCTCTGCCTCAAAGGTTGCCTGGAAGAGATCGCTCTCAGCGATAAGACCGCTTTTGCCTTCTTTTATTTTAATTCTAAGTTGTCTATGTACTGTTTTTGTTTCGTGTGTATTATCTATCTATATATTTCTACCGCCAAGCAGTAAAGTGAGCATTACTGTGTTCCGGGTTTGAAGGGTAAGACCTGTCAACTTATGACCCAGAGTGAAAGGCCCTGTGGCAGTGAGTGTCCTTCGGATCTTTGCGATTTTATTTATTTACTTTGAAGGGATAGCAAAAAGTGTACATGGTACGATTACATTTTTTGTGAGGTTAAGTGACATAAGTGTACACGTATAAATAACATTATCACATTTTACTATTAAAATTGAAATCGAAATTGTCGTGTGTGATGGGTAAGGCAAAACTGAAACAACTAAAAAGTAAACAAATAAATTAGCTCAGGGCTTCAATAATATTTAGAAGCAGGTAAATAAAATATGTCAATAACACTAAAGAAATCATTGTATTGAGAAAGAATACGACGTAGGGGAACACGCTTGCCAGCATTTATTCGGCAGCGCGCCGTTTTAAACAGCGGGTAGGAAGCGCGTACGTCGTCGATGAACTCTCGTGGGTACATTGTATTTAATATTTTGCACAAAATCTGGACAGTCAATCAAATTGTGATAAAGTCTATGGAGTGTTACAGCTTGAAGAAGCATTCGTCTATTATGAAGTGTTAGCATTCTAAACTTAGACAGTAAGTTCTTGTATGGTGTACTTCTTCTAAATATTTTGTAATTTACCGACTTAAGGAATGTAGCTTGAATTTTTTTCAATTTGTCCCGAGCATTTCTTATAGTGAGGGTCCCAAATATGCATGTATACTCCACTTGAGGTGGATTTAAAGCTCTGAGTGGCACTGCAACTGCATGGACAGGCGTGTCGCTTAACACTTGGTATAAAAAAAAAAACAAAAAGTAGCACATTAAAAAAGTGCTTATGCGTTTCTTGTTGCTTAGCAATATGGTCGCTTTTCCCATACTCCATTATGTATTAACCAAACGTGAAAACCAACGTTAACATATGACCTACATATGCTCCCTTATTAACCATATGATCGACAATTTTTAGGTTAAATTATGTTAACCATAGGATATAGGTAGTCATTAAATAAACAAAGTCCGTTAATCATATATGTAAATATTTGATTTACTTTACGCTTTACGTAGGGTCGCCTATTGATTGACTTTGTTTTGTTTAGTGTTTTTTTTGTGTGCTGTATACAATATTTGTATTGTATTGTTTCCAAAATATCGTCGGTGTTTTAAAATATTTAATCCTGTTTTAAATTCATTTTTCAAACTTAAACTTAGTTTAAACCAAAGTCGAATTTTAAAACAGGACGTAAATATTTTAAAAAAGTCGTTAAAACGTAAAACATGCGTCTCTGAACAATTTTTCGAAACGGCGCTTTCACCGTTTCTACAAAAACACCGACGATATGTTACATCCAATGATATTTTATCATTTTGTTTAGTTTTCTAATAATCATTTCTTTTAATAAAGAAAAAAAAAGTCGCGATAAAATCTTTTAGTCGTGGTCTGCGTAGACATGTAAAATTAAAGACATCTATGTCAATCTATAAGCCTCCTACGCAAACTGATATTTTTTAAAGGGCTATTAATTCGTTGGCGAACATGTAGCCTAGAAAAAAACTAATTTGGCTAAGAGCAGGTTGAATTTATTAACTGCGAGAATTGGTCCTAAAATGAGGACCGTTTTGCTTAATGTTGTGTTTTCATTTTCATACTGTCATGAGCATCGAACTTAACACCTTATATTTAAAAATAAAAAATAAAAAGTGAAGTGAAAGTCTAAGTCGAACGGTCGAAAGTCCGTCCAAAGACCGCTTTTATCGTAAAGCTGCATAAAGTCGAAGTTAAATCTTAAGTGTCAAATTTGACGTGCTCTTGACCCTATATACAAATTGTGGGAATCTGTAAATATTGATAAAAATCATGGCCCGCAATAAAAAAATAAAGATTTGGTATTTAACATAATTTTAAACGTGTGAAAACCCTAATTATGTCATTATCTCACTTTCTGTTAAAATAATCATCATCATACTCGTGAACTATTTCAACCAAGCAGTAATGTGAGAGTTACTGCGTTCGAAGAGTAAGGGTGCTGATGAAATTACAGGCATATGGGACTTGTCAACTTGGGAATGTCTCAGGGTGACAGTGGGAGTGCTTCTTAGATCTTTGCGATTTAAAGCTCTGAGTGGCACAGCAACTGTTATGGACAGGCGTGTCACTTTCCACCAGGCGCACAATTTGTTCGTCACGTTTCTTTGGTGTCATAAAAAAATATACCATTGTAAAGCACACATATTTTTCTATAAATCTAGCCATATTATGTCATTTCTGTACGTCCCGTTGGTAGGTATAGTTTTTATACTTAGGTGTGCCATGATCTTGTCCCAAAAAGAGAACATTTCGCGGAACGCTTTTATTATGAAACTTGGTTTTAGAAACATGGTAGTGGTATACATACGATACCAGGCTTTCTGGAAAATATGTTTTATGTCCGTTTGCTTTTGCATGATTTTTTATATAAAAATTATTTTTGGGTGTTTAACATTCATTCATTTTGAATGCTGGGTTCCAAAAGAGCCCAAATAAAAAAAATACGTTTTCTACTGGAGCACAAATCTTGTTTTACCAAAAGATAACATTTTGAAAGAGGAATGTTATTACAAACGATATTTAGACTCGAAAAACATGAAAATGGACGCTAGAGGCACGCCACGGTCTGGTTAATCTCGATCTTAACACCCAAGTGCGATCTAACTACTAGTGCCATCGCTTGCTACCACTGTCAATGTGAACCGTCTCGGTAACGCACGTGCCGTCTGTATAAGCACTTAATTCTTAACTTGATAATCTTTATGCGTAAATAACTTCTTGAATTACTAAGAAAAGAGTCGGCAGTTGGTACTTTACGAAGTGCCTACTGTTAAAAAAACGACTTCGGGGGTCGATTCAGAACCTTACGATAACTCAGTTGTCGATCGATTCGATTTGATATACTACAATTTCATTTCATTTTTATTCACAACACCCGAATCGAACGCCAAACTGTATTCGAAACCGAACCGAAATGACGTCACACACGTACGACGAACTTCTCGACCGGCAAAGGCTACAAACGTTATTCAGAACACAGTTATCGAATGAAAGTTACCGAACGTCCTATTATTTACAAAGCGAGAATATCATATGGAAATTTTTTTATTATTTTAAATAAAGTCTGGAATTTGGACATTTTTTAAATGTATTTTAATGCAAGACTAATGCATTGCTGTATTTTAGGTCTTTAAAGTCTTAAAAATGTATATAAAAGGATTTTAATTTTTCTTATAATCTATTTCACCAACTAACTCCGGAAACGCTGTTGGTTAACAATATCGTATAATCGAACGTTTCATTCGAATTTTTTGAATAGCTCGGAAAGCGCCCTTCAATTCGAGAACGATCCCATCGAACGATTCGGTTAAAATATCGGAGATTCTGGATCGGGGTCCTGTTAAGTAAAGAAATAATTGAAAACTTGTATTCAGAAAAAGCATTTAGTGCGTCCATGACGGGTGCGATGGACCAAGATCGTGTACGCTTTAAGTAAAAGGAGTTCTATTTAGTATATAAAAAAAAAACATTGGTATATGTAAAGTACCTATTGAATACAGCGGTTTTATTGTAAAATTTAGAAGTTTGTATTTTATTTCTATCGTGAAAATTTTTAGGATTTTTTTTCACACCGGATACTAATCAGTGTATATCTTCAATTTTACTATATATTTTTTCCAAATTCAACACATTCACTGCTATGCGGAATCAACCAAAAACCATTTGATGATATGATACAACCGTATCGGCTCATAAGACATCAGTTTTCCTACCGCTCTTACTTTGTATACAATATAGAATTGTTTTCTTTAACTTACACATAATAAACAAACAAAAAAGGGAACATAGTTCAAGAGCAGGGTTAACTGAGTCTCGCTGTTACATATACAAAAGTTAATTATCATTTTAGATACGGCTATACGTATATACTAGAACGAACAAAAATAAATCTGTTTCGCTCTTACCAGTAATTTATTTAAGTCTTTCTCTCAAATACGTAAATAAAAATGTTCCATTTTGGTTCATTACTGAAAGCTGTAGGACATTGCAAGCTTTTTGTTTTCTGTCTCAACCGCGCTCTACTTTAAACAACTCACCTTTTTAATTTAATAATATTAAATAAGTAATATCTAATAATAATAGTTATCACTGAATGATATAGGGTTTATAACGTGTATTGCTTCTATGAAAAAATCGTGAAAGATAATTTTGCAACATATTATAGGTTTTTTGTAATTTAACGTCTAACAATCCCGGGTAAGTCGTTTAATAGGTATTTATTTAAAGTTCTATCTCCAGAATAATTTATAATGTATCGAAATTTAGTAGCAGTAGAGCTCCTTGTGAAAGAGTTCGTCCAGACAAGTACTGCCACCTTACCTATTTCTGCCGCCAAGCCGTAATGTCAGCATGAACACTGTAGTGTTCCGGTTTTGAAGGGAGGGTGCTGGTGAAATTACAGGCACATGGGACATCTTGTCTCAGGGTGACGGGCGCAGTGAAAGTGCCCCTCAGATCTTTGCGATTTAAAGCTCTGAGTGGCACTGCAACTGTTATGGACATGCGTGTAGCTTACCATCAGGCACACGGCTTGTTCGTCCCGTCACTTGACGTTATAAAAAAAATACAAATTTACCCGAGATCATTGACCTTGCGTTATTGCTAACCATGCACAGCAAAGAAGCACGTTCCCATACACCGTAATATTTTTTTTTATCGAGCGCATTTAACAAGGTGGGTTTTTTGCGAGAGTTACTTGGAAAGTGAATAATTAAGCACGGCCGCTCCTTGTGAATTCACCGCATGATATTTAAAATCCGTTTTAACCTGACCCATCTTTTGCATTTTCGAACTAATTGCTGTGAAAAGTGGATAAACGGATTAATAGCAATCAACTGATGTTTTTATTTCGCGGCCGACTGAACTAATTGATAACGAAAAGTGAATAGGACGAATTATCAATCCACAAACGTTTCGTATTTAGGTAATTACTGGTTAAATCAGTGATAAGGGTTAATCCCTTACTAATTATATTTCGGTATACTTCGCAAACCATTTATTGATTTCAAAAACTGAAATATAACGATTAGGTTTCGAAACATACATAATCACATTTCATTCTGAACAACAGGGCCTTCGAGCTAGAAGAAGTTACCTGGTTAGAAAATTCACAAAGAACACTTACGATATAGGATTACGGTAGAATCGATATAAATCTACGCAAATTAAAGATCAAATCTGTGCAAGGAAATATAAACGTTACCTTTATAACATAGTTAAGACACGGCCCTCGATGTGGACACGCGTCGCCCCGGCCCCCGAAACCTTCAACAGGTTTGCCGACCTCCTTAGAAACGCGAGGGGGCGAGAAAAACCTGAAACAATGATACAACTAACTAACCTAACAGATACATAACCTCAGGGAAAGCGAAAAGTTAAATAAAAAATGTCAATGTAAATCTGCACTATGAATACCAAATCTGTTATCAATTATGTTTTAAATACTTAATTCAATTTATGTACAGATGTAAAGAAAGCAATTTTTTACTCAAGTTCAACTCTTCTTGATTGATTCTTTGCCTACAAAATAAAAGAACATGGTGTTCCTTCCCAGCCATATAGCGAAATGTCAAGAACTATTCTTCTCAACATCTTTCCAAGAATTTCAGAGTTTCAGTTCTACGAGTATTATTATTATTATTATAATTTCCAAACAGGGAAATGTCCCTGAATTTTTTATCTAATTTGAAATGTCAATAAGAGATATTACATACATATATCTATACAGCCACACAAATTACATAGGGTAAATTCTCTCCGGGGGCGAGAACCAATTTAGAAAAAATAATTCCCGAAATTGGTGGTGGCTCCACCTATCTCACAGTGCAGATCGTTGAGCCACAGTGGTAGTCAAAATTGTTACTATGTTTATTAGTGTATTCATGAATAGTGAGCTGAAACCTTTTCAATTAAATCATAGGTTCCCTAAGTTTTTGGTTCACTGCCTACTTGGCAAGATGAAAAAATTTCAACGCCAACCAACACAAATGAAAACACGTATTTTTTATAATAACTTAACACAAAAAATCATATAACGTAGTGTATTTTACATAGATAACTCAGGTTTTTTTTTCAAGTGCGGTAGCATCCATTGGACAGCATCAACGCCGTGTCTTAGAGGTCTCTTCAGCACCCACTGGGGGGCGGCAGAAACCACTTTGGGAAACTATTAATTAAATAAATCCATTTTTACAGCGCAAATTCTTATTTGATACCAATACGTTTTCCTGACATTATCAGTATGAATCAAGCGATATCGCCCGAGTGTAATAAAATACTTAGGTAGATAGCACAGTGAACCATTAGCTTCATCATTGCGCAGTCAATTGTTTTATTTTGTTACTGACAACTTTAACGACATGTCTAGTAAGTAAATTGTTAATTTTAAACTGTTTTATAATGCTCGCCATCGTATTAAAAGGATTTGCCAATCGGCGTAAAATACTGGCCGATTGTCGCCCTGAATCCGTTACACTTAAGGAAACGAATGGTACGGCGTGCAGGTAGGCACCCCAAGGAACTAAAATTTTCCGCTTATTCCCAGTCGTCACCACTAGCTTTATTCCCATTGGCGACAAATGGGGAAAAAACCCATATTACGTTGTTACCAGGTGGTGACAAATGGGACAAAGATCTGTATTTGCCACTGGCGACAAACGGAATTTAAAATACCCCAGTAGTTACCAGTGGTAACAAATGGAATAAAAAATCCCAATTGTTTGTTTATTGCCGCCATCGAAAGGGAATAAAATAAAATTGGAGTTAAATGATAAAAATGCAGGTCTTATCGATATAACTAAGTACACTAGAGACAGACATTGTACCATTCTGATTCATACTTCATACAATGACCTTTTTGTTAAAGTATAATCATGTCACTAATACATTTATATGTATATTCATTCCATTCTCAGACGCAACGAATTCGATTTATTTTTATTATAACTTACAGCATTAATAAAAAAAAGACAAAGGTATCTTCTATTCTATTATTAATCGTGTCAATGTTATATTTAAGCACTTAATCATTAGATAAATCGTTATTTATTTGCTTTACAGCTGTACGGTGGGTTCAATCTAGCCCTCACGCCGCCCAAAGCTATAGCCATCAAGCAGTAGTAGCAGGCAAGGAAGGATATGACAGTAGCCCTCTGTGGGTTATCAGAGCTTATCATAGTGGGGACCTTATTCCTGGTAAACTTGCTATCAATCACAAACAAGCATATATTGCTTTTGGAGGCAATGAAGTGATCGTTCATAGCTTCGAGGTAAATATATTATGTATAGCTGGTGCACGCGACTTCGTATGCGTAGAATAAGTATTTCGAGTAGCCTACTGTATTATTATAATTTTCACAGTTTTATTGGTTCTCCATTGAACTTTCATCGCCCTATTTCACTACCTTTGAGACTTATTTTAGTGGCAAAAAGTAGCCTATGTCTACCTTTGGGTAATTTTCCGAAAAATTTCAAATAGTGAAAATTTTCCCGGAAAATTGGAAAAATATAGTTTGCAAGGCTCATATTATGTTCTAAATTTAGAAATATCTTTTGAAGTTTTGTATAGCTAAAAACCACATAAAGAAAAACGAGATTTAAAATTATTTCAAAACAGCGGAAAACGGCCTACAACAACCGCACCACCACCACTTGTTGGCTCTATTGTTTTCGTTCAGTACAAACAATATAAAATGGAAAATTTTCTATAACCCAACACTATCTCGTGTGCTTCGCCTTGGTCCAATGTATCTATATACCAAAATTAATCAATATTGGTTCAGCGGCTTATTAAGCGTGAAAACGTAACAGACAGAGTTACTTTGGCAAAGTCAAAGACAAATAAACTTTATTTCACAAATATGCAAATTATACTTGAAATCCTCATACTAATTAAACTTTGCTGCTCATTCGTAAGGCAGATTCTCCTGAGAAGAATGATTTTTTTTTTTTCATTTGAATAAGTTTATCATTACAATATTTAATTTAAACATTTTGGATCGACGACTGGCAAGAGCTAAACGGGTCACTACTACGGATTTTTGTCAAGTCATTATATTATAATATGTCATCATACCTTTAGTATACAATTTTTGTTTTACTATTGTTTTAAACCTCGTAAATGGTAAATTTTGAATATCAAACGGAATCTTATTATAGAAGAGTATACATTACCCCATAAATGAATTTGAGACTTTATGAAGAATGTCATGAACGGTTACTTATTTTTATTCCTCGTACTAATGAGTCTGTCAAATAATTTTCGCTTCGCAATTTACACTCTGGGGCCCAGATTGTAAATTGCCCTAACCGCACGTTTCTGCAGGCCAAAGATTCTATCGCACTTATAATATTAGTTTGGATTTGGTTGCCAACGGCTGTGTTTATTTTTTTATTTATATACATTTATAATTAAGTACTAAATAAGTATTCACTCGACAAACAAATCATTTTAACGTATCTGTATTTTGGTTAACTTCAGGTGTTGTGTGCCCCGGCTCATTTAATACGCTGGAAGCCAGCTAGCATGGGCGCAGTCCCCGCTGGAGCCATCCCAGGTGGCAAAACTCAAACTGGGGAAACACTATACATTGGCAGAGTGGATCATATGAACTCTCTTACACCTGGAAAGGTAAGCTCGATTTCGAGGATAGGTCAGAATCCACAACAAACTCTCGAATATATTTAAACCGACCTCGAAACGCGTGACATAACTTTTATTTTTAATTTTCTTATTAATACTTAAATCTATTTTTGTATTCACTACTACTACATTACTAAGCAAAAACACTTATTACACTACCCAATATTTAGGGCCCTGCGTGAAGGGTGGGCGTGGCCCCTTGTTATCGAGCCAGTTATTACACTACTCTGCCAACCAGGCCCTAACTCATTCTGAACACGACGGTCTAGAGCGTTGTATGTTACTATCATGGCGTCATCGAAGCTTGCATTTGTTGTTATTTCTCAATGAAATTTTTGTAAATTTCAAATAAAAATTTAAAGCCCTCGGACCGTATGTTTATTAATATAGTCTTTGTGATCTTTTTTGCATAAATAGGGCAAGTCTTTGTACATGTCTATCAGGCACATATCTTCTTTTTCTGTACTGTATGACATGTCAATAGCAAAACAAAATGAATGCGCGAACGTGAGGGACGAAACGATATGGCTGCTCTCCGCGTTTCTCGCGCGTCGACTGCACTCCCTAACTGCCCTGTGTTATTACACTGCCTGTGCGGCAGGGCGCGGGGCGGTAGATCTGGGGTCTTACCATGAACTCTTATTACGATTCAACTTAGGACCTAAAATGAATCTTTATGAGACAGTGCTACATGAAGTGTATATCACCATCCCGCTTTTTCGTCGTTACGAACCAATACTGAACTGATATAAGATTTCATGGTAAGGCGCCAGGTCGCCCTAAGTCGCCTGAAACAGAGAAAACTAACTCATATTACACGTCCCTAAGTTAGAGTCCCTCGAAATTGGGTAGTGTAATACGTCTATTACACGACCTATTATAAGACATTCGAGTATTTAAACGTCTTTAAAGACTCGAATGTCTTTAAAGAATTTTGTAATTTATTGTTTTTGTAAATAAAATCATTTGCCTTCTCAGGTACATCCCAGCCATCGCCGTATGTACATTTCATTCGGCGGCAAAGAAGTGCCTTACACACAGTATGAAGTTCTCTGCAGAATCTAATATCGAAAATTTACATACGTTCAGACGATTGTAAAACCAAAATTCATAAACTTTCAGGTTCATAATATTCTTTTTTTATAATATCAAGTGACATATCTATTATATATCTATGTTTTAATATCTATTATATATCTATGTTTTAATGAAACTGTGAGTAGCCAAATCGAAGAGATAAGATATTTTATATTTTAACTATATAATTAGCTTATTATATTTAAAATTGGATTGCGCCCTTTTCTCTTCGAAGTATCGATTATGACATTCAAAAAAATGTCTCACTTCTTAACTCAATTCTCGCCATTTACAGTGTACGATTATTGTATCATATTTTCAATTTCATAGAAGCAATAGTAAACTGGAACGTCGTCATCCAGAGCCTACGTTTAGATAGGGGCTGATGGTATGTTTGTGTGTGAACAAATATAACTTACCAAAAGATAGGTGTTCTCTTGTCGTTCTCCTTTTCTTTCCTCATGAAGTAGAAGAAGACAGCGCTGCCAAGCATGAAGATGAAAGTCTCTCTAGCAGGAGAGCGCCGCAACCAGCCTTTCATTTCTAAAGTGCGAAGCCAGTATTCGAATACCTGAACGAGTAAAACTTTTAATTGAAAATTGTATGCTAAATTAAGTTTATAAAAAAATATGAGTGACAATTTCAGTTACCGATCGCTCATACAGTACAAGGATCATACAAAGATAGACGAAAAAATAATCACCCAATATTTTTTATTAAATAAAATGTAGCAAGTTAAACTTAGGAGTTCATTTCATTTTCTAACATTTTGAAATTTATTCATAAAAATAATTATAAACAACACATTAATTATAACTGACAATTATTTGTTGTGATTTTCTCAACATTCGTTGACCGATACAGTAATTATTTCATTTTTATACAATTTGGAGAGAGTGCGAACTAAGTCATCGTACATTGGGCAGTATGTTGGCGATTCATCACTTCGTAGATATAATTAACTACGTAAGTTGACCAAAAGGTAATGTTTCAAAATAAATACAAACAAATAAGCGACTCTACGGCCATGAACAGTTGCTTTACTCCTCCTACTGCACACAAAGCATCTAATTAGTCGTCTACAATTATTTGAGTTGGAAACAAACACATGACAATGTGTGAACTTTAAGGCACAAGTAAACTGAGTATTCAAACCTGCCAAAATATCTGTATATTTGTCAAAAATTAACCCTACAAGATTGAATTTATGGTGTATTTGAGAATTAACAATAACTCTATAAAATTTAAGGCAGTATTTGACATATTTGTATTATAAATAGATAACAAAAAAGCCCGAACAATAATAATTAAAGATAGAAATCAAATAATCTTAGATATAGCATTAACCACACTATTTTGTTATTGGTCATACTCTAAACTTGAACGGCTCTTGTTTCCGCGCGAATGGAACAACACAAGAAAGAAAGCGAAATATGATAGATGTCTATAGATACCGATAGATAGGCGATATACATTCAAAATGTTTTTATTCTTCGGAAAGGCATTCTAAGCGTTACATTCTTATTATACCTCAATTTTACAATTTTTTAATTTTTTATCTTGCCCTTGTTAGGGACTGCACTGCATAAATATAGTGTACAAACTATCGCGTGAGTGTCACGGATCATAGTGATTCAAAACGCATTTTGTATCGATTTTGTAAACATACACATGTCACAGAAGAATAGATAATATATTTAATAACAAGGTGGAAAGGCAATTTTAATGAGTCAATATAGACTTACCAAATTAACAAAAAGGTTGAGAACCATAACTCTTCTATAAGGCGGTTCGCAGTATACCGCTAGACCGCTGACCGTGCAAGGCAGCAGGACTGTTTTGTAGTAGGTGAACTCGTTGAAGAACAGTTTCCTGTTGTAAATTTTATAATTAATAAATAAAGAGCAACCGGTATGAAATAAACAGTTGTATATAATATTTGGACAGCCAACCTCAACCTACAAAATCGTTAGCTATAGCTGTAAAGGTGGAGAAATAAATTTCTGACAGCCATCTGTGCTACGGCAATTGAGTCGTTAAAAACCAAGAACAAAGTTCTGCAACAAACACATAGATAAATTCGTATGGCCTGCTGGTTCGTTGCGTGGCTTCCGGTACGGATTGATCGAATGAATTTTTGTTAGTGTTTCCGATCTTTGTTATAATAATTAATTATATCAAACTAATGGAGTAATGTCATAAAAAATAATTGAATACCATGGTAGTAAAACAAGATGACATTCCATAAATTTAAAAATTACTACAACATCTTTTTCGCTATTGTTACATGGAGATAAAGCTATTTCTGACCTCACAAGAACGGAGTTCAAGGAAACATGTTCTTATTCCCATTGCTCTGCATGTACGTTTTGCTTGTGGTTTATTACGTTTCAATACGCACAGGCACACAACATTTTAATACAAACAAATCTATACCTATCTATGTATTTTAAATCCTTTCAATTCAAATTTTTGCCGCGGCCAAAGGTTCATCGTGACGTGCAAGAGCTCCTGTTGATACTGCTTACTTGACTGCATGTCAACTACAAACCCATTTACTAGAAATGTATGACGAGCAATGATTTATTCATTGGATTATTTACAGCTGTTATATTCGAAAGATATTCCTAAATGTAGAACAAGACTATATATAGGTATATGAGCCTACCAAATTATATTTTCCAATTTTTCGTGAATTTTTAAACTAATTGAAATTTTTCGTAAAATTACCCAACAGTAGATGTAAGAAGTAAGATGGCGTTTTACAGAAAAGTTTAGAGGAGTTTAACAAGTACTGAAGTGAAGATATTCGAAACAACGGTTGTTATACGGTAACACAACACATTATAAAACATAACAATACATAACATACATTATAGAACATAACAACACTAAATTCAGTTGCAAAGAGTGTACACGGTGTTACTTTGTGTAAAAGTGAGCGGGTGTGGTTGCGAACCAAAGTGTCTGTCGTATGTCTTTGCGTGCGCTTGCGCGAGTGATTGTGCGGTGCACGCACACGCATATGCGTATACTTCATGTGTGCTTTCGTGTGTACCTAACTCATGCGTGGCCTGTGCGCATTTATGTATTGTTTCCTCTGTTTGTTATTACCTATAGGCATCATAAGGCATCTTATTCTTTATACGATTAATGTGGGATTTAACAATTGAATTTTCAACTGTACCGTTAAGTAAACGCTTTAGTGGCCACATCAAAGACATTAAATACGACCAACCATTCATAATTCGATACTTGTAGTTTTATCTCGAATGCATTCAAGGCCAATTCTAACGCGATCACAGTAGACTCGTTTGAATTGCAAAAGTATATGTAGAAGACACAACTTTTTTTTATAAAATATAAGTGCGCATTTGACCTCCATCTCACGTGATGGAAAGTGACGATGAGGTCGACGATGGAGCATGCACACCTAAGTAATGCCTATTCACTCTCGCTTTGAAAAGACCCAAGTTATAACGTTCAGGGAACAAGTCTGCAGGCTGAAAATTCCACATTCGAATTCCATAAAGAAAAATCTAAATAAGCCAACTCTATATGTCACAAGAGTCATCGACTGAATAATCTATTATCTTGGTACTTAGCGGAAAAACTTTATACTGCATACCTTTCCTATATCCACCATTCGACGCCGAGAGGTACAATTATTTACAATACATAGTTAGATATACAGTATACTGTAACAAATCTTTAGTCTGGTCTTGTCTTAGGTATTCAAATTGAAATTACATACAGATGTGGTACAATATAGGCACGTGGTTTTTGACGTTTGTTTTTACTCTCAGTTGCCTTGTAAATCGCTACATTAAAATACGTTGCTTAAAATCCCAAAGCACTATAATTTTTCAAAAAATTCAAAATCACCAGGCAAGCGTCTCGCCAACAAATAAATGGCGAATATGTGAGCTAATGTTGCTTAAATAACAAATAAAAAAATATATAATATTTTTATACCTAAAAATACAGTTGAGTGTCACAAACGAACATCCAACCGTAAGGCCAAACACTCCAGATTTCAGGTAGAGTTTGAATTGCTCCAGCATCTCTTTTTTGCCTAACTTCTTTCCTTTCATAAGGATTTGGATCTGAAAAGAAAATAAAGTCAATAAACAATAATGATAATGTGCCAGACAACCTGGTTTCAAACTAGGGAATTCCCTGTACTGTGATTACCAGAGCAACGGAATTCACTCTGGGGCATTTCCCAGACCCCCCAAATCAGAACCAATTTAGAAAAGTTCATTTGACAAATTCGTCCTACCGGGGGCCTCCTCATCCAACGCCCGTAATTCAAATGTTGAGCCACCGAGGTCATAATTTGCAATATCACATGCTATATATAAGCAACACATAAAAAATATTATTATTTATCAATACAAAGATCGAACAGTAAGAAAAAAATCCTTCGATCCAGCAGGATTCGAACCAACACAAACCGTGCCAGACACAATGCCAACTAAACTACCCACGGAACGAACCAGCGGACCTTACGAATTTTTCTATGTGCTTGTTGCAGATCTTTGTTTTTGTTTTTTAACGACGTTTCGCCGTAGCGCCAACGTACCAAAACTTTAGACAAAACTGGTATTTGACAGAATATGTCAACTTAAATGATATATATAGATGAGGCCATAGATGCTTCCTATATCTATGGATGTGGCACTCAACAAATGTATGTAATAGCAACAGTCAATGCACATTACAATGAATGTTAGAGGTTGAAGGTCAAGGGCTATATTTAACATTTGCTTATTCATGTTTCTTAACATAATGTGTGTTGTATTCCTTTATATTATCATAAAAATTATTAAAATATAAGCTGTTTACTAAGAATTATGTTTCATTATTGATTGTATACATTTGAAAATCAATTTTTTAAAATTTTTGTTACAAAGTTTCATAAACAAAGTGTCATAAAGCCACCTACCGCTCGGACTCTTCAGCGCCCACTGCTCCCCCGTGTAGGTATGGATCACTTTGGGAAACTATGCTCTAGCCACAGACATATATCTAGATATTATGTCTGTGGCTCTAGCTCAATTAAGAAGAATTCTATTTAGAAAGGCAAACGTGATGTTACTAGGTCAACTTTTACTAAGTATAGGTAAAACCTACAAGAAGCAATCTTAATATACTTATTACCTTGAGACTATGGAAAGTAAAGGACATGTTATGTTGACATATATAAATCAGACGTTACATGTATATAATACACTTCGACGTTGAAAACGCAAACATGTTATTGTCTTTGTTTAACTATTGCGTGCCGTCTTAAGCCAAAAGAGACAGCATTACACTGGTCTGTGTCAAACATGAGAATCGAAATACGTAACGTCATCTTAAATGTCTTCTCAGTACATGAGGTACATGATTAACGTCATCTTAAATGTCTTCTCAGTACGTGAGGTACATGATACGGTTGTCAAAGGGAAGTACATCAAATGTCAAAACAAATGTTTTCCAAGTGTTTTATTGAACTATTCGCATATATTATAATAAAATGAACAAAAATATTGACAGTGAGAACAATTAAGTATTAATAAAAATTCGTCGCTGCAGCATTACGGGATGTGGCATTTGAAAAAGCGAAGATCGACCGAATGTAACATTGTACAGGCACGTGTTATTTTTCTGTCTATAAATCACACAAAAGCCCAAATATCTCATGTAATTAGACATATTTAAGTAGTTTAGTCATAAATCTTGCCAAGTTTTGCTTTGGTTTCTTCAGATTGCCTGTTTGTTTGTATATTTTGATGATTGTTGTTAACGATTATTTTGAGATAGTGTTGTTCTTGGAAGCGTATATATTATGGATATTCTGTTATTAAAATAATTCACTACGATGTTTTTATTATTTTATTATTGTTTTTACTATTTCAAGTTTACCTACAAATCAAAAAAGAATGGTTGAAAAAGAATGGAAACGGGAACACTTCGAGGTATCCTCAAATGTCTCTCACACAAAATTAGATTAAAAATATATAATCCCTTGTTAAACCTCACATAGACTAATTCATTGAGGTTTGGGGCACGGCAGCAAAAACTAATGTTGATTCTATTCAGACTGCACAAAACAAACTGATTAAAGTACTTTTTAATTATAATTATTTAACATCAAATAAAAACAAAGATATCAAGTTATTGAATATTGGGCAAACATACAAATATCAAACTTGCATATTAGTTCGTAAAATATTAAATAAAACTATACATACTGAAATAACTATTAGCAAAACTAAGCAAATATCAAAGTTGAGACCGTGACTTCACAAGGAACTTAAAATACGCCCTGCACGTACAAATTACGGAAAAAAGTTTGTTAAATGAAGGTGTCACTATTTATAACAAATTACCGAAAGACATAAGAGAATCAAAAACAATAACGACGTTCAAGCGATTGCTTAAAACACACTTATAGAAAACTTCCTAAATAAAATAATGTTAATAATAAAAATTTTACAGTAACTACTTGAATAACATAAAATAAAATTAATACAACAAACAAAACAAAAAGAAAAGAAAAAAATATTTATATACATATATATATTATCATTATAAATAATAAACAAAGTACAATAGTAATATAAAGTGCCAAACGTTTCGTCCTAATTAAACTACTTACATGTCGCTTCTAGTTTTGGCCGTTCTATATATCTTTGTTAATTGTGTATAGCAATATTCGAGTTGAGGCCCATTTAGATGGAGAGAGTTTATCGTCTCGAAGATACGATTATCGAAATAATATAAAAAACTTTCCTCGTCTAAACATTCGCGATTATCGACCGTCCACGTGAGCGACAATCGCCACGCCTTTGAATATTGAACGTCTCCGTGTAAACAGAACTCGAAAGCAAAAATCGTACTTCGAGTTTCTGTGCCAGCCGTTTCTACCACGAGTGCAGTGCGTGAGGGTGTTTTGATTATCACTGCTTTTCTAAGACAAGAATTAATGAAACGAGAACGAAAAAAAATTGTGCATTTAGAAATGTTATAAAATTTGAAAAAATTAAATTAAAAAATGTATATTTCTATGCAGTTCCAAATTTGAATGATTTTTGCGTCATTTTGATATGTCCATAGTCAATACCGCAGTAATCACTCAACTCGAATGGCAATTCTCGCACTCAAAACGGTTCGAACCTATTTGTACGATAATCGTATGAACTTGGAAAAATGTTATACGAGATCGTGTTTAGACAAGTCGAAAACTCGTAAGCAAGAATCTCCTTACTACATATTTCTCCGTGTAATGTAAACAGTCGAGGCGATTAAGTTGCTTGCAAATCTCGTATGATGTAATCGTAGGCGAGATTTTAGTTCTTGCCTCAAAGTTAACATTATAATACGATAATCTTATGGCGATTATTGCTTACGATAATCGCGTACGATTTTTCTCCATCTAAATGGACCCTTAGTGATTCAACCAACTCACGTTTAAATAAGCAACTACCCACTGAATGTAGAATTATTTTTATACCCAATCTTTGTCATTTGACATTTCAACTGTACTGTAATTTAGTTTCTTTTTTCTCATGTTAAGTGAATGAAAATTCGTATTGAGAAATAAAATTTTTAAACCTAAAAAGAATGGTTAGCAATCATACCGCCGTATAATAGAGCCGAATATAAACATTGAATCAAAGACCATTTTCATTTATTCGCTTCATTTTGAAGAGTCAAATTCTAACATAACTTTGAATGTAACTATATTACATGATAATGCAATTCTATCATTAGGTGTATTGGTAAATATTTTTACATTTAATTTACATTAAACAAGTTTAATGTAAATTAAATATAAAAATATTTTTTTTACTCATTTACTAGGCATTCTCAGTTCCTGAAAACATAATTATCCACTAGTTTCCGATTTTCTCCGACTGACAACTCTAACTACTAAAAATTCTTATTTTATACAGCCAACAATACAATGGCCATGTCAGCCCAACGTTGCCGGGTGAATGCCAACACCAACGTATAGACAGCCTATTTGCCTTGCCTTGCCTTGCCATCGTTCGGTGTCCCTCGCCTAGCTGACCGAGTGAAGGCGAGCGCTAACATGTTCGTTTGACATGGCTTGTCACAACTTGCAATCGCTCGTGATTACTTGTCTCACGTCATAGAAGTGTTGATTTTTCTGTACAAATCAGAGGCGATCGGCCAATAGTAGTCAATTGACAATGTATAACCAGACATTTGCATGCTATTTAATAAATGCGAAACAAGTTCATACTAACACTGTCTCTTAGTACATGTCCTGTTATACCATGTTTTAAGCAAATAAACGTGTGATAATAATATTATTATTGATAATATTACTACTTTCATTTATTTCCAAAATTAAATGAAAGTATTAAAGATTCACTTAAATCAGTCACTGATATTAATTCTATACCAATGCAAAATACAAAAAAGCCTACACTATTTGGAATCTGTTTAAAAATTTCTCTATGAAAATATGAATCTTGAAGTTGGAAATGTGTAGGAGTTATATTTCAAAGTTTTCTCTTTTTATATACTCTCAAATTACATTTTTTCTGTGCAAATTCACTTTTCGTAATATTTGAGTATTTGTGAATGCAAAACAATAAATTCAAAATTTCATGTGACATTCCCATATCACCCAAAATATTCCCAAATGGAATATTGATCTACTTTAATTAAATGTTTGATAAAGACTTATTGATAGATTATGGTACGAAACTAAAGAAATCCGCCATTTGTTCGTTAAATTTTTGTTTAGGTATGCATGTTCATTCCGTAGTTAGGGCACCTCCTTTCTTTTATTTTTTTTTCCATCCTCCAAGACTATTACATACAATTCATAAGTTCATGAATTAAAATATTCCATAGAGTTATTCTAGAATGGAGGAGCATCAGAACTAAAACCTATAAATTACATTTTGACTTGTTCTTTTTTGATGCCAAATGGTACTTTATGTTAATTTCTGCAAATAATTTATCCAACCTGAATATCAACCACTAAATCAAACATCAAACACAATGCGACAAATCCTTTTAATGAAAATAGGTGAAATTAGAATTGAAATTTATCAAATTGGTTCCAAAGCTCCTCAATTATCACGAACTAAATATGCAAAAAATAGTCAACTTATCATGTGTGTACTAAGTTGTTGAAAAATAAAAATATATTATTGTCCGGTACAATAGGGCAGATTAAATAAAACCTATGAACCTTTTTGTTATAACCTAATGAACCCTTTTCCTGTACATAATGAGCATTCTAAACAAAATTGGAAAGCAAACTATTTAATAGACATTATTATGAGCATATATTATACTTACAAGGTACACCATGGCATAGAATTTATAACTGCCTCTAATACAGCTAAGCAGCATTGTTGTAGTAGCATCTGAACATTTGTACGTCCAGGGATGAATGAGTTCAGAGCATGCACAGTCCCCACAGGCCTTATCAAACATCAGCTTACTAGCTTCCACCATGATTCCTTATAAAAACTAATTTTTATAGTGAAAAAACATGCAACAAGATCAAAAGTAGATCATTGATACACTTATTAAAAGAGAAAACTTTTGATGGGCTCACGAGAACTAAGTTAGAATTATGTACTGTTCTTACACAGAATAATAAGTTCTATTAGAAGTGTGTTTTAATAAATTAAAACATTTTAAAAAGTCACCAGAAACCAACTCATAGCCAGTCTCACGTATAACACAGTCAGCACAACACAACACAATAAATAAAATGAACGAATGAGTGAGTACTTGAGTATAATTTCTTGACTGAACTTTAATAAAAATGTGACAGATCTGAAATGAGAAACATTCTACAAATAGTTTTCGTTGCATTTCACAAGATGGCGATACTATCGATGTGGTACCATGAAATATAATTTATAAAATAAAAGTAGTTATTTTATATCATTATGAGTTCCTGCAATGTGTTACGGATAACCATTGACCTACCAACAAATGGACATCGGGTCTAATACAAAAAACCACGAAAAAAATGTCCGAGGTTAACCTATACAAACGTAGCGACATGTAACGAAATACATATAAAAAACCTTAAAAAACTAAAACATTAATTTAAATTGTACTTGGTACTTGGTACTTGGTACTTGGTGTAACGGGCTGGTGTCCGCAATTTAAATTGTAACGTCATTGCAGTACTGCTTACAACAATTTAAGGGCCCAAAAACACCATATTCAGCTTCTACTGGAAACTTAACAAAATGCACCTATTTAGCTTCGACTGAAAATTACTTGAACATAAGAGTAATGGAATAGCCTTTCTTGTAAATATTAATTAATTTTTTATATATATTATTATGTCGAATTTTGTACAAATTCAATTAAAGGCATAATAAAGAGTTGGGCAGATACATAAACACAAATATTACTACAAATGTGAAAATAAGCGTGTACTATAAGAAATGTACCGATATTCTAACTAAACGTAAACTCAAATATCTGTAATTCCGATTTATAACAAAACCGTTACGCTTTCGAGTAATTTTGATGCTTTTTACATAGACAAAATTAGCTTTTGTTTTGTAATCTTTGTAAAAAGTCATTATGAAAATTCGAACTAATGTTATTTCGGGCAAATGTATTTTCTGACTTCTGATAGGTAATCCCATGCCGTAAAACAAGTACAACAATATTTTGTTAGTTATTGCTAACGTTTAATTAAACAAATCCTTTTAAAAATAGGATTAAAATCAAAGCAACTCCACAGTTTCTTTGTTCTAAATATTTCAATCGCTTGTGGTTCGAACAATTGAAAATGACCAAGAAGTTTATATAAACTTCTTGAAACTGACGTAATGGGTCTCTTTCCATCTTTTGCGCATGCAATGAGTAGAAAAAGGACAGTTAGCTATTTCATTAGTTCGTGTGCTTTTGTAATTTATATTTACGATTTAGTTGTATATAAATTAAATACTATAAAACTGTACAAAATAACACTTTTAAATGGCAACTATGATAACACAATATACCTATTTGTTTAGTGAAAATATGATATAAAATCCTGTTTTCAGACTTTACTGCAGTAGTTTGTACAAGTTATTATTATTGGTACCGCTTAGTGGTACCGCATGATTGACAACCGCGCTGTCAGTCGAACAAACGAAGACTGTTGCGCGATTGACGCTCTGCATGCAATTTTAACGCCCTACAGGTGCGGAAACTTTTTAGCGCGAACCCGACGTCCATTTATTGGTAGGTCAATGCGGAAAACTGTACGCTAAACTTAAATTGAGTTCACTGCATCTGTCTTTTTCAATAACAAAAAGAGAAGGAAAGAATATTTAACTCGTCAAGAACTTGTCAAATTATGACAACTCTATCAATTTTTTTTACTTCTTTCCATATAGGAAAAGGCAAAGGTTTTATTTACTCGTGACAATCGAATTCATGACGTTTAAAATTATGGGTTAGTCTATGAGCATGCAGGATATAGCAAAATTTTGGAGGATGGAAAAAGCAGTAGCTATTGAAACAACGACTGAAATCCATAAAATTACTAAGCGGAATAGTTGATATTGGCGAAATTCTAAAAGGGCACAAAGGGTAAAAAGAAAAAGAAAGGCTAGAGTGGTGATTGTATCAACATTACGCTGTATTTTATTTACTTCAATGAGAGAACTAGATACCCTGATTAAAAAAAACCAGTTAGGCAGAATCGAGATAATGGGCATGAAAAATAAAATAATAAATCATTAGAGTAATAATAAATCTATTATTTTTTGAACCATGTATGTACTATAATTACAATAATATTTAAATCTGTAGCAGTAAAATCTCACACATTAGGATACAAAAATATATAACAAAACACATACTGTAGAAATTATTTGCTTTGTGTCTGGGATAAAGGAACAAAGTCCATACATAGGGTGTATTACTAATTCCACAGTTGGGTAGAACCTCCTAATCATGCAAAACTTAATTTTTATAATTTGATTCTCAAAACTCTAAAATTAAAATAAACTTACCAAAGATATTACTTGAAACGGAGCAAAAAATATAAAAGATCCTTTGATACAAGCAAACAAAATTGTTAAAAAAGCTTCCGTACATGTTGTTGCCCAGGGGTGAATTAAAGTGTTACACTGCAATTCGCCCAATCGGGATTTTTCAACTAAAAACTTGCTAATTTCTGCCATTTTAAATTTTCGGTCTTTTGAATACTGACGAATAATTACTTTATGCTATGAAATATATATAAATACGGCAGTACTGCTTCAAGTGTTTCAGTGATTAGCGTGTATTGTTTGGTAAGTAGCCTAGTTATACGTAATATAATTATGTAAATTTTAACTTTATGAACTGTGTAGGTATCAACCATATTGTATATTCAGTATTTTAGAGCAGGTGTTTTAAGAATAACATTGCAAGATTAATGTTCAATATGTGTGATTGATAATTTTGGAATTTTCACTCTATTACATCGAAGGGTTTATCTAGTTACAGTGAGCGCAGACTCTAATCCAAGTCAGTTTTGTAGTTTTTTTAGTCTTGGCCATTATTATTCTCATAAATGTTACAGCAAGATAGTGAATGATATACCTACACAAATTTTGATGTGTCTGCCGTCCGGCTTTATCCTCTTTTAAATGGAATGAAAAAAAGCCATTAACTCATAAGTTAGGGCATTCATTGTCCTGCACGGCTGTCCGTCACGCAGACATGACACTGCTTACACACTATCTAGCGTATGGCCCACGTATGGAGTCTTGCAGGAGGCATTGCAGGAATGCAGGATGTATGCTGCGACTGCATTTGTATTCCTGTATTACGCGGTGGACGGCAAGGCGGACTGCAATGCAGGATATTGAATGCCCTTTTAGACAAATGAGTTTTACCATGGGTGTCCGTAATTGTCTATGGTCGCCGCAAATATACAGAAAGTTTCTAGAAACTGCCGCAAATGTCCAAATGTCGCTGCAGTCGGTAAATGGACGTTTGATGTGGTGTTTGTCAAGATTGTGCTATTGTGTGTTTACAGTGATTTTATTCCTTATTACAATAATCCTATTTAAAGTAACAAGTTTTAAGGAGTAGATGAAGGTATGTATGATTCTGTGACACTAATATTTCATATTGATAATGGCTGTAAATGCTGTAAGCAGATTGGCGCTTGGTGATCCTCGTCGTCCCTTTCATGTCAGCTGTATTACAAAGATGATACGCATTTACGAGTAGATGGATGAAATAATGAATTAAATTCTTACTTTTTCTGTAAAATAATGCTTGTATCATTGTTAGACGCTAGTACTGTATGCTAACTAAGTTTATTCTCTAGGTTTTCCTTCCGAACAACGGAGGTTATGGATCTCTCTTGTCCCTATTTCTCCAAAGAAGATAATCCTCTATCAAACAAAATAATTTTAACACCCCTAATGACCCCTCGCGGTGCTTATAAGGTACATTTATCGTATTTTGCGTAATATTCACAAGTACATAAACAATTCTATCAATAGGTATGAAAACAATCATTATCATTGTTTACGTAGATAACTTTGAATTTATGTTTTAATAACATGTGTATTATTTCAAAATTTCCTTAAAATCATTGTAAAGTAGCGTTGTTTTACAATAATTGCAGAAGTAACACTTGTATATTCATGTATTGGTAATGTAGGTCTGTATACCATAGGTTGTTGCCTTTCTAGTACTTAAATAATGGATATTTTGTAATAAACATACTGTAAACAATGAGGTTATATCATAAATTCTATGGCAAAGCTGTACAATTCATGTACTGTATTTTGTATTTTTCGTAACATTGTAAAATCATAATATTTTTCTAGACGCAAGTTTTCCATCTGTGTCAATGGTACATTTAATTGTATATAATTGTTATAATCTTCATGTCTGTATAAGATGGAGGTAACACCTGAACTCTTGATTCTGTAATATTTTGAGGAAAATCTTTATGACATAGATCTTTAGTTAAACATTCGTTGTCAGTTCGTGAAGTATAGTTAACTTAATTGTTATGTATATGTTAACTTAATTAAATGCATTTGTATAAAAATATGTGGGTTGGGTTTTTTATACTACCCTATCATGTATAAAAATGTGCAGGTAAACATAATATTGTTGTAAATTTATTTCGAGGTCAGTTTTTTTTTAAATTGGCTATGAATACTATCTCTCACCAATGTTTCTACATAGCTACCTATTATTGAGGCCCATATGCTGCGTAACAAACTATTAAAAAATCAGATTTCAGATGAGAATGTTTTATAAATAATAAATAGATCTAAGTTTTACAGTTTGTATTTAAGAGACCTAGCATCTTCCTAGCGTCAGCCTCTGGCACTGCTTCGGCACGACATCCATGCGGCGGCGACGCATCGTGGTATTCCTAACTAATTTGTGAATGCAACACCAGCACTGAGCTACTGATTTATAGTGTCGAACATTAGGTATTATTGCGTCGCAGTCGCGGGGACGTCGTGTCGACGCTGTGCGTCCGTTGGCAAGACGCTGACGCTCGAAAGACCCTGTTGTGGGGGGTCTCATAATGCTATGTGATCCTGTGTACCTTAATCTATAATATTTATCTATGTATGTTCTAATCTAATGCAATAACAAACCCAGCAGCTTAGTTTCAGAATGCTTCAGTACCAAATCATTCTAAATATGTGTTGGATTTACAATATTATTGCACTGGATATTAATTTCTATTGTTTCCTCTACAATCAATGGCTTTATATGTATAGTCAACCAGTTAGCCAACTTCCACACTTAAAATGGTTATTAATTTCAATACCATTCATGATAGGAATCGTCAATGTGTGAAGTGTATAGTGGGGGAGTGTTTATGTATGACCATCGATATGACATTTGGTATGAGTGTGTTGCAGAAGAATGCTGACAAACATAGCTTATCCCTGGATGTATGTCATAAACACATATCAAAACAGCATTTAGAATGATGATGTTGTATGTTCCAGTTGACAGTATGTCTCGCAACAAAGACAAGCATGAGGGCGCGAGCGGGCGCACGTACCACATTATGTCGGAGGCGGAGCGGGCGTCCGGCCGACGCGGGGGCTGGACCACTCTTGAGGTAAATTACAGAATCTTTACATACTGTAAAACCGTGGCATGCTGTTCGAAAAGCAATAGTAGTTGGTTTGCAGTTAATAACCTGTTTCTTAAAGACAAAAAACAAATCATATGAAATTAACTTTACTGAATGTTAGACAGATCGGCTCATCCGTAGAACAAAGACCTATGTGCAAGATGCTGCTTCTTCTCAGGACATTGTATGTTTGCACTGATAGCTTCAATTGGTTTACTTCAGCTACTTTCACAATCAAGTGGCATATATGCAATTTTGCTTTAGAGTAGTGCAGCCGATATTAATAGTCATTGTCCTGTAAAAATATGATAATAGAAGCAAATGTTAATAATATTGGAAATACTATCTTCCGTCTGTTACGTATCACGCAAAAAGTACTGATGAAAGTTTGGCAGGGTTATAATTTATACCCCCAGGTTACCCCTAAAGTTATGTAATTCTTAAGAAATTACCGTCGTAACTGTGCGTCATAACCAGTTCCAGATTTTTCTTTATATATAACGTGTCTGCTTAGTAAATGTTGTTGATAGAAGAATTTCTTATTCTTATAATTTTTTTTCACCCGTCTCAGATATTAATTATTTGGAGGTTTTGAATATTATTCGTTCTATTTGAACCTTTTTGCTACACATTCCTTAAGCTTATTTTTTTAATTTACGTTTTTAAATCTGGTCATTGTAAAATAATAATAAATGTAGTTAAAAATGTAAAATAAAATTAAAATAGTAAATACAGTCCAGTTAATTAAATTAAATATTTGAGAATAGAAAAGATTAGTACAAAAATAAAATATTGCTTCAAAATTATTTGATTATTGGTAAAAAATCTGTTTTGGCGCCTACTCGTCTTGTTCCCCTAGTTACGCACACTCAATCGTAAGCTCACTTTTCTGCCGCTTCGAGGCGGGAGGGATCTCGTACTACGAACGCAGGCTTTGCGGTCACCTTATTGGTCCCCGTTACTGCCTTCATTGTGGCCACACGGAACGGAACGGTTGGCGAATTTCACAGAAGGGTCCACTGAAAACCTAGCGTCACAGCGTACTATCGCACGTGGCATTAGCTGACTGGTCGTTTTGCATACGCCATAGTGTGAACACATGACATTAATTCAAATTGTGTTGACTGTTTAAAATTTGATTACGTTTGCTTTGTTATTTTTTCTTTTTTATGTTAATTTAGCTTTGTTTTTTTAACCGACTTTAGAAAAGGGTGAGGTTCTCAATTCGACTGTTTTTTTTGTATGTATGTTACGCGATAACCCCACATTTGTGAACCGATTTTGTTGATTTTTTTGTTGGAGACCTTATAGTAGTGGGCCCATGGCAAAGAACGAATGACTTTTGAAGTCGGTATTGTTGAGTACTGTGTACTGAGATTATTTAGACTTTCTTTCTGTGTATTTTGGTGTCGTTTTTAATAAATGTTTTCTATTCTATTCTAATTTCGGTTCTGAACGCTTCCTTGACAAGAGGGCGTTCCAAATCGAGTTCGAGAGTTTCTCATCGACCTGTATTTCTTGTCATGACCGTCTCTGCAAATATTGTCTTCATAAGTGGCGTAGCTACTTATTGATTGACGAACCATGTATCTTTTAGTAGCAGTAGAGCTCTTTGTGAAAGAGTTCATCCAAGAAAGTACGCTACCTTACCTGTTTCTGCCGCCAAGCAGTAATGTGAGCATTACAGCGTTCCGGTTTTGAAGGGTAAGGGTGCTGGTGAAATTACAGGCACATGGAATTTGTCACTTTACGTCTCAGGGTAACCGGCGCAGTGGCAGTGCCCCTCAGATCTTTGCGATTTAAAGTTCTGAGTGGCACTGTAGCTGCTATGGAAAGGCGTGTCGCTTACCACCAGGCGCAGACTTATTCGTCTCGTCACTTGGTACATAAAAAAATATACTTGAGAATATTTGTTTCTCCCTGTACATCTTTTATCGTTCCATTAATAATGTTTGTTAAAAATTTTATTTTTTCTGATACACATATTATTTGTATTAATTCTTAGTCATATTGTACCGTTATTGCAGCTGCATTATAATTATCGTATTGTCATATCAACTTCGCATAATAAGTCGACGTTAGAAGGGAATACCTAACATGCCACAAAATTTTGATGTGTAATAAGTTCATTGTGTATTAAAGGCGGTAAATAAGGAATTACTATCGAGACTATTAGAAGCCCGAAGTCGAACACTGAGGGCTTTCGGAGTCGAGGTTCGTATTTCCCGTATCGCCCGTGAAACATGCAATGTTTTTCATCACATTTGTAAATAGTATGATTGCATGCAGGCTAACTTGACTATAATGCCCCAAATAAACCCTCAGTCCTTTTTTCTTGTCATTACAGCCTTGGCTGAAAAAAACACTCAGACCAGCACCAATTTAGAAGTGGTTGGTTTCCTAATTTGGTCTAGCTGTAAATGTAGCTTCGCACTCCTTCATTTAGTGTCCACACTTTGGGACACGGAGAAAATATCGATACTTTTTGGTATCGAGTACTCTCGCCACCGATACTTTTCTACTCAATACTTTTCTGGTATTAGTATACTTTTGGGCAAGTATCGTATTGTTTTGAATAATACCTACTTATTATAAGGAGTAAGGATTCAGTGTAATCAAGTAATTGATTGTTCATAATGAAACAAATAATTTAATAAATAATAATATAAAAATTTTAATAGCTCTCCCACTAGGGAAACCTTGTCTCGCGGGCACCATGGACGCACACAGAAACAACCACAAATTTTACGGGAGAAATAAATGTTGGCCATACAAGTATTTCTCCCGGTCCAGGAATCGAAACTGGGACCTCTGCGTGGCAGAGCAGCATGGTAACCGTTCTGCCACAGACGCAGTTAAAACGTTGTAAAAAAGTAAAAACGTTGATTAGTTCATATTATTCTCTTTCATCTTTAATTGGGAAAATTGTTTCACGCGGGTATTGAGACTTGAGCAAGTGAAGGGCCCTAACATTTATATTACATAAATAATGTACGACAAATCGCGACGAATTGGTTTTAAAGGAAAAGTTAGGTGCCACCACAGTTCATCGTCAAGTTCGAGTTTCAAAAACGCTTTTGCACTCATATGTCTAATGAGAAAGAAAGCCTTTCCAAGCTAGGGAGGTGAAACATTTTTGCTTCGATGCTTTTGTGAGTTTCGAATTGATACCCTGTCCCTCTACCCGCACGAGGATCGACGTTTTCCTAAGCAGGTCGTCCCGAATGAACTGTATATACTCTAAACATAACAGGTACCTATTCTGTTACATGTTGGTAAAAACATATTAATAAAATAAGTGATAATAATATCTGCTTAGAATAAGTCTGTTTTTAACACGAGCCATATTTTTATTATTATATGAGCTCACATAGCGACGTATATGTAAGTTAAAAAGAACGTTCTAGAAAATATTTTTCAACATTGTCAGATCCATCCTCGTCACCCGTTGATTCCGACGCATGTACAAACAGGGCTAATTTTCAGGTTAGTTTTCTCTACCCAATTTCGGTGACACATTTTATTTTTTAAATACTGTAGAATATTATCGTAAAATATTACTTAATATTCGAGTGTAGTATCTTGAAAAATTATTTTATATTTTACGATAGTATACTCGAATACTTACTTAGTAATAAAAATTACCACCGACATGAGGTAGAGAAACTATTATATATAAAGAAATTATCCAATACAGTTTTCCGTATGTAATAGTGACGTTGGAGTCGTACTTGCACAAATCTTCTATATTTACTTCAAAATTTCTTGTGCTTTCACCGCTGGTTTTACTGGTATCATCACCATTATTCTAGACAGGTCTTTATTTTCTTCTTCAAAAGCGTCACTGCCAAGTATTTTCTATTTCTACATAATTAGACTAAATACTCAAGACAAGAATTGACATTTGGCCGAAAATCATTTTAATTTTTAATGGTTGAGATCTGCGGTGCCTGATAAGTCCTGAAATCGTCTTCACACATAGGCATGTCGCTGCAGAGACAACCTGTGTAAATGGGACCCGTGCTTCAACATAGTCTTTGCAACACTTGCCCCTGTGCCCCTCGTCTTTAACATCTGTAAGAGAGAAAATGTCTACGTGGCCACGGATAGCTTAGTCAAGATGGCAACATTCTATTTAAAGTCAATATAGTCCCAAGAGAACATACTGCGACTTTTAGCAGCGATGCAAACGCACGACTGCATCGATACCAACGCGCGATTGCATCGATACAAACGCGCGATTGCATTAATGCAATCGCCTATAAATCCCAAGCGATGCAAACGCGCGTTTATATCGATGTAGTGGAGCGTTTGCATCGCTGCTTAAAATCGCGCGCGTGTGTAAAGGTAGACAATTCTGCCGTCCTCTATCTAAAACGCGGCTAAGTGACAAAATTTTTTTTGAGTTATCCATTGACCTACTAACAAATGGACGTCGGGTTTTCACTAAAAAGTGTCCGCACCTACAGGGCGTTAAAATCACACACAGAGCGTCAATCGCGCAACAGTCTTCGTTTGTTCGACTGACAGCGCAGTTGTCAATCATGCAGTACTATATAATAATAACTTGTAAAAATTACTGCAGTAAAGTGTAAAAACAGGATTTTGTAGCATATTTTCACTTAACAAATATATTGTGTTATCATAGTTCTCATTTAAAAGTGTTATTTTGTACAGTTTGTCCTCTAACTAAAACGCGGTTTATTTAATTTAAATTAACCGTAAATGTAAATGACAAAAGCAAACAAAATAATCACATAACTAACTGTACTTTTTCTGCACATTGCATGCGCAAAAGATGGAAAGAGACCCATTACGTCAATTTCAAGAAGTTTATATAAACTTCTTGGTCATTTTGAATTGTTCGAACTATAAGCGATTGAAATATTTGAGACAAAGAAACTATAGAGTCGTGTTGATTTTAATCTTATTTTTAAAATGACTTTTTATTAAATGCTAGCAATAACTAACAAAATATTGTTGTACTCGTTTTACTGCTTGGGATTACCTATCAGAAGTCAGAAAATACATTTACCCGAAATAACGTTAACTCGAATTTACATAATGTCAAATGTATTTTTTTAAGAAGATTATAAAACAAAAGCTAATTTTGTCTTTGTGAAAAGCATCAAAATTACTCGAAAGCATAACGGTTTTGTTATAAATCGGTTTTCGGAATTACAGATATTTTACTTTACGTTTAGTAGTAGTTAGTTTAGTGGTACATTTCTTATAATACACTCTTATTTTCACATTTGTAGTAATATTTGTATGTATGTATGTATCTGCCCAACTCTTCATTTTATCTTTAAGTGAATTTGTACAAAATTCGACATAATTTATATAAAATTTCGACATAATATGTATAAAAATTAATTAATATTTACGATAAAGGCTACTCCATTACTCTTATGTTCAAGTATTTTTCAGTCGAAGCTAAATATAGTGCATTTTGTTAAGTTTCCAGTAGAATCTGAATATGGTGTTTTTGGGCCCTAAATTGTCGCAACAACCAAAATTAGACAGTACTGCAATGACGTTACAATTTAAATTAAATGTTTTAGTTTTTTATATTTCGTTACATGTCACTACATTTGTATAGGTTAACTTCGGACATTTTTTTAGTGGTTTTTGTATTAGACCTGATGTCCATTTGTGGGTAGGTCAATGGAGATATCATAAAAAACCATAACTTTAGTTTTAGTTTAAAACCATAGTTTTAGTTGTATTTTTAGAATATTGAAATTTTTTAATGATATTTCGGATATGCATCGTTAGGGTAAGTTCCGATAAGTCGAACACTTTAACTATTTTTTACGGTTTTTACATTGACTTACAAATAAATGGACGACGGGTCTAATACAAAAACCACGAAAAAAATGTCCCAAGTCAACCTATTTAAATGTAGTGACATGTAAAGGAATATGAAAAAGCTAAAACGTTGAATTTAAATTGTAATGTCATTGCAGTAATGCCTAATTTTGCTTGCAACAATTGAAAAGCGCAAAAAACACCATATTCAGCTTCTACCGGAAACTTTCCAAAATGCACCATATTATGTAGCTTCTAGTGAAAATTACTTGAACACAGGTATTATGGAGTAGCCTTTATTATTTATAAATAAATTTTATATCTAAATGTTGAATTTTCTATAATGCCATTTATTACGAGCTAGAGTGTCTGACTTTTTTCTTGAGGTCTCTCGGACCTCATTCTCGTACTCGATTTCTCGAGTTATTCGAGATTTTTTTTAAAAATCGTAAAAAATCAGCTCGATCTACTATAAAACTAAATGTGAACTTTTCGAAAGTTGTTTTGGCCTGGGTGTTCTAAGTTATGCCCCGGAATAAATTCCATCGTTCTTGGTCCCAGGTTCGATTCCCAGTAGAACCAATTTGGGAAATGAACATTTGTAAATTGGTTCTGCTCGGGATTCTGTTGCTCTGATACTCATGGGGAGTATGTACAGAGAGTTCCCTAGTTTCAAACCAGGTGATTGTCTTACAATAGAATACCAAGACCAGAACCATTTAAAAAAAAAATTTGTTAAATTGATCCTACCGGTATCGAACCCGGGAACTTCTCATCCAGTGCCCAGAGTGCAAACCATTAGGCTATCAATTTGTATTATTATGCAGTGTTTTTGTTCACTCATTGATGTAATCACATACCAAAGCTTTAATATTATGGTCTTTTATCAAGCTTGCATCAGCTCTGGTTTCCTTTCTTCTCTTACCATTTTCTTAATCCGTTCGTGCATAGTACTGAAATTATACTGCGCTCAAAAACGTCACCACTTTTCTATATGCCGTAGTGCTTACGTTGATTCAATATAATTATTACGGTTTATCACTGACGACGGTTGATTCCGTCAACAGGCATAGTCGTGCTGCTTATAGTTCTTGCAAATGTTTCTTGTGCATGAAAAAGTACGGCTATGACGGTAGTAGGGTATTTGCTGTTGTGAGATAATTACAAAATTAAAATGCGCGATATTGATTGCGCAAGAGAAACGCTTTCCTAAATAAACACTTAGATACTGATTAATAATAATTATTATAATAACGCACACACTCAACATTGCCCCGCATTAGGGAAACCCTGTGTCGCGGGTGCCATGGACACACATATAGACAACCACAAATTACACCCAAACTCACGAGAGAAATAAATGTAGGCCATACACATATTTCTCCCGAAAAACCTAAAAAAATACTTTCGGGATTATGGAAATTCATGCAAACGTTACTTCGGGCAAATATATTTTCGGTCTTTTGATTCGTAACCCCGAGCCGTAGAAAGAGTACAACAATATTTGAAATTATTACTAACATGTATTAAACAATATTTTAATAATAACATTAGCATCAAAGCGACTCTATGAAATTTTTGTTCTAAATATTTCAAACGCTTGTGTGTCAAACAATTGAAATTGACGTGATGGGTCTCGTTCATAAAATAACACCTTTAAGTGATAACTATGATAACACAATGTAGTACTTACTGAAAATATGATATACCACCCTGTTTTTTCACTTTAGTTAAGTAATTTTTACAAGCTTTTACTACACAATACGGCATCATTGACAAGCGCGCTGTCAGTCGAACAAACGAAGACTAGAGCGTGATTGACACTCTGTATACGATTTTAACGCCCTGTAAGTTCGGACACTTTTTAGCGCGGACCCGACGTCCATTTATTTGTAAGTCAATGGGTTTTAAAAAGAGAATTTTGGGTTCTATCTTTTGCTATTTAAAACGGATATTTGATCATTTGTCACTTAGCCGCATTTTAGATAGTGGACGGCAGATTATTAACGACTGCATCGGTGTTAAAAGTCGCGGTGTGTAACCGCTCTAAAATAAAACAAGCTAAGTCACAATAAGAACAATTATAATTAAATAATCTTGCATAAAACTATTAATTACGGATATAATAAATTTATCTTTTTTTCTTGACTGTTAACTGGCTAAAAACAAAGAAGAAAGTTCCCTCATTAGAAACTCGTTACGAAGCACGATTACGGTGACGACCATTACGAGAAATTCATAATAAACCCGACGTTACATAATTTGCGAATGACGATTGTACGGCGCGTCCTTAGCGTTGGTAGCAACTTTTCTGTTTCCCTATGAGACAATGAATGAAAATAAAAACTTGCTCTCGCTTTACGACGTTCACACAAATTTTATTAAACCTCAATTGAATTTCTTTTTGCTTTTTTTCTAGCTTTATTTTAATATGGCCCGGGATCCTTTATTCACTTGTATCAATTTTTTGTTTAGATTTAGTTATTGTTTACAAGATTTTATTTCTCTATTTTTACGTTGGTTTTGCAAGCTGCGTTCAGTCTTATATTATTAGTTGTACAGTGAGATGAGATATTATGTACAGCCGAACAGGTGCTATGCTGGTCTGCCACACAGACGACCCGGGTTCGATTCCCGGACCGGGAGAAATACATGTATGGCCTACATTTATTTCTCACGTGAGTTTGGATGTAATTTGTGGTTGTCTATGTGTGCGTCCATGGCACCCGCGGTACAGGGTTTCCCTAGTGCTGAGCTATAATGAATTTTTTCGTTTTTAACCCACCCATAACTACCCTCAAGTAAATTTAAAAATATAAGTAAAAGTAGGTGACATACGACGATTAGTGGACAATGTTCGTTTTTGTAACCTGAAAAAGATCGTTCGTATTGTATTGAAAGGCACCGCAAACATCTTAAAAACATATTAATGGACCACACCACCTCACAAATTATTTTATTTTTATGAATAATAGACCCTACGCATGGCCACACTTTTTATGATACCTAGAGACGGAACGAACAAGTCGTGCGCTTGGTGATAAATGACACGCCTGTTCGTACCAGTGGCAGTGCCACTCAGAGCTTTAAATGACAAAGATCTTAGGGGCATTGCCACTGCACCCGTCACCCTGAGACATACGTTAACACGTCCCATGTGGATGTAATTTCACCAGCAGCTTTAAAAACTGGATCGTAGAAATGCTCACATTAACGCTTGGCGACGGAAATAAATAAGGTGGCAGTGCTTCTCGCGATGAACACTTTTACAAGAAGCTCTACAGCGACAATGCCGGTAGTCGATTGGAATACCATTTCATTGCCATAAGCATTAGAAAAGAGGTATCTATTGAATACTTTGCACTTTAGTACTGAAATCAAAACGCCCAAATTAATGAATAGGACAAAAATTGCAGGTAACAGGAGGTGTGCGCGCCCTGGCGCCGCAGCTGTTCCAACTCACTCACCTGACAGCGCTGTACTTGAACGACAACTCACTGCAGCGCATCCCGCCCGACATCAACCAACTCGTCAATCTGCACACGCTCGATGTCTCTAATAACAAGCTGCGCTCGCTACCCGCTGAGCTCGGTGATCTTATTCAGTTGAGGTTGGTTTCCAAAGTCTTTACAAAAGGGTAATTTAATTTCTATTGTACACTTGGATTTAGTTTAAGGGCACGTTCTCACAATATCGTGACGTTTTATTTATCGTTGGGCGACAGTCGCGTCTAGCCTGTTCCTATATCACGACTATCTGTCGTGACTGTGTCGTGGACGTTTATTTTATCATTGAAAAACTGTCGTTTTTAGCTGTTCCCACTAGATCGTGATGACAATTTATTAGTTCACGGCAGCCGCCGCGAAGCTGCGATTATCTGTCGTCACATTTTTATCGTGTTCTATTTATCGTCCGACGACGACTCTTCTCATTATCACGACAGTCTGTCGTCGTAAGGTCAAAAAAGTGAACGACAGTTAATCGTTTTGTACTATATGTGAACAACTTCGTTTAAATATATAAGGCACGACACTTGAAATTGCACGACTATCTGTCATCACGACATAACGGGAACGCGCCCTGACTCTTTATCACTGTTGGTGTGATTTGTTTAGCATTGCTGTGCTTCAAGCTATATACAACATTTATTTATACACGTTGTTCTCGTCTTATCTAGTTTCTTGTGAGGAATACGTAATATCAAAATAATTCGAACGTTCGATTCACGGTTAGCTCAGACCTCAATTCATAATGAAAGTCGCAGGTTTGTGGAGCGATGCGGGCTACATTCCTAAGGCGTTATCATGTGAATGTGTTCGCACAATTATTAAAGAGAAGAGTGATTTTTGCTACCGTGGTCTCTTCTGCGCCCCCGGCCGCGCTCGCTTCTCATTCAACATTCCCACCTAAGTGTGAATCGTGAATCAATATGTAAAAAGTTAAGCTAAAAAGGACTAATCAAAGAAAACGTAACGCGAATCTACTTAGCGCGATAAATGCTAAAAAAAAACAGTTTTACTACTAACAATGGTCCTTATGTACGTTAATAATACACACTTAATTTCGGTTGCAATCTACAATGCACTAAAACTTCGATTGCTTTTTTTTATTTCTAAGATTTTGCAATCATTTTGTGATAATTACGTTCAAAATGCAACTGGGATATAAGTTTTATAGGGGAAAAAAAATATCAATTGGGTTTGAATTGCTTTGCCACTTTTTCATGTCGCATACATATTGTAGATAGTTATACCCTAAATTCCAGCAGTTTCCAACCATCCACAGCTACGAACCCCTGGAGGTCAAACAAATTTAAACCCGTTAATTTAGCGTATTGTAAGTTTATAGCCTTCTCCGGCATGCTTTTGGACCCTTGATCCGTAAACCTCAGGTTTAGTTTAGATAGCTTTATAAGTCCGTATTACTTACGCAGTCATGACGAACTTTGAGACCTTGAAGGGTTTCGCGAATATAATTTAGAGGACAAATCTGTATAATTGCCGCTCTGACTTGGGAGGTTATTGTTTACTTCAATAATGAGAATTTGTCTTACCGTGAGCGTCGCAGTGAAGTGCCAAGGGAACTCGACTTTCATGGGAAGCAGCGTCTGTCTTTATTAAAAAAAAAAAAATTAAAACTGTTTATTACAAATATTAATAACAAGTTACAGTACATTCAAGGTAGAATCTTAAAATTTGATCATTTGTCCTTTTCTAGTGAGTTGCGTTAATGCGTAAGGTACAACAATTAAATGAATGACCAGTTTACGTATGCCTCCTCTGATATTGATCTTTCATGCAAAATCTTTTTAATTTGTTTTTGACTTGTATAGGCTTTTTATCTGTTATTTCATTTATAAGATTGTTTGGTAAGCTATTTAATATCACAGGAAGTTCACACATCCTAACTCTTTACCATAATTATTGTTATATTTAGGTATATCATACATAGGTAGATGTGATAGTGTACGTAATGAATTTGGTCTAATTTTAATTTTTAACGACTTTATTTTTCCACAATTTTCGGTTATGATTGCTAATTTAACTTTATCAAAAACATTCATTACGTTACAGTACTGAAATAGTTGGTCATAATTATCTTTAAATTTATATCTAATTCTAGGAGGTACAATGGTCTTAAGCAATCTTATTTAAAGGCAACACAACATCACGTAACACAACACACGTAACACAACACGTAACACAACACGTTTTAACATCATGTATTTCAACTTATCACTATCTACTGTGGAATATCGAAGCCTTACTTTCGCAAACTCGTATCTTAGATGTCAAAACTTTCTATTTATTTTAAATTTCTTATGAAGGGTGTCAATTTGGATGCATTACTTTAAGAATAGGTAAAAGCGAGTGTGTGAATATGAAGCAAAATGTGATGTGAAATCAGCCTGCAAAATTTGTATATAGTATAAATAATATATTCGAGAAAGTAAGGCGACGTTATCCTATATTTTTTATTTAATATCTTCTACTTTTCTCAATAAATTATTATTACTCGTGTAAGCCGGCCTTTGTAACCGTTATTCAGCAAATCGAAGAAGACAGGTGTGGTAGAACAACCGAAAGAATTTAGTTATTTTGAAATCTTTCCGCATTGTGATAATTCCCCAGTCCGATTGGTTGTTTAAAAATAATGGATTTTGTTTTACACGTGTATAATGGAATTTACACTTCTAGAAAGCATCATACCCAAAGAGAAAATAGGGAGAGGCTAGTGTGACGGTGGTTTATTAACACCTTTAAAATTATTTTAGTGAATATTGAATTAACTATTAATTACTCAGAATAAATTTTTTTAACAATTGGTGTTCATACGACTTGCTATCCTTTTTTTATAACATGAAGTGACGGGACGTACAAGACGTGCTCCGGATGGTAAGCTACACGCCTGTCCATAACGGTTACAGTGCCACTCAATGCTTTAAATTGCAAAGATCTGAGGGGCACTGCCACTGCGCCCGTCATTGCGTTTCTTTCGAATGAAGTTACAAGATAAAAAGTTATGTAGGTATTATAAACATGTATTAGCCAGGAGACCTAAGACACAGGGGGTACCCTAGTTTAGGATCCTGTCTCTCACAATTTAGATTTAAGTGAACCCTGTAACTTTATACCTTAAGTTTCTATGTTTTTGCTGAGAGAAAATAAATATTATTATTAAGTTAATAACTTCGTCCTTAAAAGACTTGGAAGGAATTTTATTTAATAATATTTACTCATTAAAAAAGTGCATGTAGTAACAATCTTGCTTTTACAATTACGAAACACATGTAGCAATAACATCGCCAATGCAATAAGTAAAATAAGGTAATGAGGACACGGAAATGACTGCAATGTCTTATTTGTAATTTCATTTTTTTTTGAATGTCAACACATCTGCAAGCAGTCTCACTGTTCATCTAATATAAAGTTGTTAATGTCGCACAATGTCGCATATTATCTTTAATATTAAAAATGCGTTGCCGGTCAATTCTAGTCACTTGTATAGGAATTCCGCTGTCTCTACCATCTTTCTTATCATAGGCCATGAGCCGCCACATTGGCCAAATGTGTATTTTTTGTTTTTATGAACCAAGTTTATGAACTGCTATAGACATGCGTGATAACAGTTGCAATGCCACTCAGTGCTTTAAATCGCAAGGATCTGAGGAACACTGTCATTGCGTCCGTCACCCTGAGTTGTAAGTTGAAAGGCCCAGGCAATTACACCAGCAGCCTTACCCTTCGAACACGGAACGCAGTGATGTTCACATTACCGCTTGGTGGCAGAAATAGTTAAGTGGCAGTACTTTCCTGGGCGAACTCTTGCACGAGGAGCTCTACCGCTACTTTACGACCTGCCTGTAGCGGGAGATATTGCTTGTAACCTAAATATACCTACTTAGAAATTAAAGTTATAAAGTACATATCAGTCCCGCCACAGGAACTCAAACCGGCAACCCGCAAAAAGAAACCGCTCTTCTACTAGGCTACCACCGTTAAAAATATTTTTTATTTACAACTTATTTAACTTCAAGAGAATGGCAATTCAAAACGTGTTAAATTAGTCACCGTTACAAATAATTTTGGATTGTTTACAATTAATGCGTTACATTTAACACTAATTCTAATTTTTTTTATTGCCTAGTAAATTAAAGTACACTTGAAATCGTAAAATGATTTTATTTGTTATTTGTTTTGTACAACTTAATTTTAACACTACTAATAACTAAACATGTATACTCAATAAGAGGTGGCGCGACCGCCGCAAGATGTTTTCCGCTACGAAATTTCAACCACAGAGTTTCTCCAGGTAGTAACAAACAACTATCGAAAAATTCGTTTTAGAGTTATTGAAAGCGTCAGTATCATTGGTCCTATTCAGATGAATTGCAGTCCAGCGTAGAAGTTTCGACGTATTTCGACCACACGGAAAATCGGTTTTTCGATGTTAATGCTCTGGCCACATAGAGGCGGCTGCAGAACGCACCCTTCTGGCCACGGGAATTTTTGTAATGCACCAGTTCATATGAACCCTGTCACTCAAACGCGCTGTGGGGCGGCGCTGTGACAAACAGGCGGATCGAGTGAGAGGCGGACCCGGGGCGGGCGCGGGCGTGAGGGTTGTATTCCATTGAGTTCTATGCAACCATCCACACAGCGGTAGCAGCGGGTGCGGTCCGGAATCGGGACCTTAGCGGGACTTCAGCGGACTTTGACGTTGTATTTTTTTTTTCATTCGATTGCTATTGCATATATTTTAATGAAATTTTCTCTCCCGTGTTCCGTAATAAATACGTCAGGGGATTAAGAGCTTATTTTACGGTATGAGAGTATATTTTTTAAATATCACTAGCTCAACACATCTCGTCAGCTGTCAAACACATATTTGAAGTTAATGAATTTGTAAAAAAAACAATATTGGAAAGGTAGGGGGTCTATGCAACCAGAGAAAATTAACGGGACACGTGACAAAAAAGTTTGGGAACATCTGGCCTAGAGAACTAACTACATACCAATAAGGCCACCTTGTTGTAAATTAGTATACAAATTTACATTGCCGTTCTATGTCGTCATTGGTACAAAGAACATTTAATTCATTAAATTAATG